GGTCACACACCCAGGAGTGGATGGCTGGGAAGATGAATTTTGCACTTTGGTTGATTCACCATGTCAACTGTACCTACCAAGGCTTTTCTCATTTTCCCATTTCAGTGGGCTAACTGTAATCTCATTGTGGTTGAAATATTTTAAAAGTAAGCCAAACTACAAAGTGAAAAACTTACCTCCTCAGCTCTTGAGGACTAACATGGCTCACATCAGGGAGCCAAGCAGACACCTCCTGACTGGGAGTGACACAGTCTTTTGGGGAGCTCCTTTTGTCTGTGGGCATAAGGCTCTGTGATTCACTCAATGCTGCAGTCAGCTGCTTTAGAATAGAAGCAGTCTGCTGGTACACGTCTTCAGCATGCTGTGTGGCCACATGCCTGTGGATGCTGGTCTGGTCTGCAAATAGCTGCTGACAGCATTGCCACCGTTGTTCCTTAAACTCATAAGAAGGTGCTGGAACTTGTTTGGTTTTGACAAAAAGGGCAAAGGCCTGCAATTAACATTTCAAACAGCATCATTGTTTAATGGCCTTACATTTAGGAATAACAAAAGTTTCATTCAAATCTTTTATATCTCCTTTTATAGGGGTAGGGGTTTCCAGCTTGACATCCTGCCAGTCTATAAAGCACTCCAAGAGCAATAGCATGGGCTTGTGTTGCTTCCAGCAACCTACACACTGACACTGACTTCACACCCTGGCCTCCAACATCCATGTTCTTCTGCACCTTACTGATTCCTCCTCCCTGTCCCTCCTTGTCCATGCTGCTCCCTGAGATGGGATGATCTGTTTTCTCTATTGGAGTGGCTCTCATTGGTAAAATCAAACAATTGAGATTTTGTTTAAAAAAAAAAAAAAGGGACATATGACCAGAACCTCTGGACAAAGCCAATAAGTGAGCCACTTATACAATTCTTCTAACTTTCTATAAGTTTGAAATTATCGCAAAATAAGGACTTTTGTAACCTCTGAATTTAATTTTCAGGGAAATCCATATAGGTTGACTGGAAGTGGACCTGGGAAATTACAGAGACATTTATTCTTCACTAACATAGAACCAAAAAGAGGCTCTCCAGGAGGTGAGAAAGCCATGTCCAAGCTATATCCCCAGCCAGACGTTTTCCTACCCAGGAGCTTCCTGCTCTTAAGAAGAGAGAGTTTCAGCCAATGGTTTCAACTACAACAATAGCAGGGATACAGGGCTCTGAATAGGGGCATCATCATCACCATCTTTATAGCCCAATCACGGTATTCTTAGGAACCCTGTAGCATCCTGCAGTGCTCTGTCCTTTCTTCAAAGCACTGAGCTAGCTGGATGAGACCAAACTTCCCCCGCCAGCAAGGTTCATAACAGTGTCTCTAGATGTCTGCTGCCTTGTTACCTGCCATTCTCCTTACAGTACAGTTCTGAGTTCCTAGGACTCTTCCTACACTAGAAGAAAGATGTCCAACTTTCTTCTCTAGGACCTAATCTTTATTTTTTTAATTTTTTTTACATATGTTAGTACACTATCATTGTCTTCAGACACACCAGGAAAGGGCATCAGATCCTGTTACAGATGGTTGTGAGCCACCATGTGGTTGCTGGGAATTGAACTCAGAACCTTCGGAAGAGTAGTCAGTGCTCTTAACTGCTGAGTCATCTCTTCAGCCCTAGGACCTAGTCTCTTCAAATACACTACCATAACTCTTCCAAGACTACATAATCCGAGACTAGACTGCACTGTGAGGGAGAGGCAAGCTCAATAATCTGCTTCTACATGTACTTCATTAACTTTATATGCATGACCACGAGGACACTGACAGCACGATTACCTTTTTCTTTGCAAACGAGTATTTCTTCTTTGTACTGCCATCTAACTCTGCTTTGAGACTGTTGCTAGGATTAATAAGATTCGATTCTTTTAAATCCAGATCAAAAGCCTTTAAAACACAGGTCTCCAGGCCATCCTCTTCGTCTGGTGAAGTGGAAGAAGGCATCTGGTTTTATTAGTGGGACAGATTCCTTTCAGTCAAGTATCTTCTGAGACATAAGCAAAAGACAGAATAGAACAATCAGCTCTTCGGTTACTTCTTGAAGCAGACATGAAACTAATGGAATCGTGCAAATGAACAGTAGCCTCCTAACCCAAGCCATCCATTCGTTCACTCGCTCATTCCGTAGTATTTATGTGACAACTATGCTCGACTAGGCGCTCTCCTACACACCGGGAACAGAGGAGTAAATGCAATAGGAAAAAGTCTATCCTCTTAAGTTTACAACCTAGTAGGAAAGGTAAGCCAATAAACTGATTTATTTAAGTTGACTTTTAATTTTTTTTTTTAATATTCCAAAGGAAAATAGGTGAAGTAAGGAGGCAAGTGAAAGGGCTCCTTATAGACAAAGGGGCAGGAAAGCTGTTCTGGGGCAATAGCATTTTCAAAGAAACATGAACTAGGAAGTAAGCCAGGAGAAAACACAGGGGAATGAGAGCAGGAAAGCACTGTGGACATTCCAAATCAACCAATCCCAGTGTTGCTGTAGCTTTGTTTCTTTGGTTCTCAAATCTCAGAGCCAAAATTTCCAAATTGCTACTGTGGCCAAATCTTACCAAAATAGATACACTATAACCAATGTAGTTTTCTTCTGTTACATTTTATTTACTTCTGTGTCTACTTGTACCTAGATGCCTGCCAATTCTCTCCTTCCACATCTACACAGGCTCCAGGGATCATACACTGTCAGGCTTGAGTGCCAGGGATTTACCCCCAGAGCCATCTTGCCAACCCCTATTTTTTTTCCAACAAAATTAAGAAAATTTTATTCTTTAATCTTTTTTTACAGTCCAGTCTTTATCCCCCTCTGGTCCGCCCTCTGACTGTTCCTCATCCCACACCTTCTCCACTCCCCTCCCTCAAGAGAATGCCCCTACTCCCTGGGGCCTCAAGTCTCACAAGGGTTAGGTGCATCTTCTCTCATTGAGGCCAGACCAGGCAGTCCTCTGCTGTATATGTGTCAGGGGCCTCATATCAACTAGTGTATGCTGCCTGGGCCAACCCCTATTTTTTAAATTAATTGTTTTGAGACTGGGTCTTGCTACACAGTAAGGGCTGGCCTTGAGCTCCCAGTAATCTTAAATTTAAGATTCCCCTTGCATCTGCTTCCAGAATGCTGGGCTACAATACCAGGCAATACGCTTTGCCATCCTTTGAAAGTCAACAATCCACTTTGAACTACATTCACTATGGCCTGGCCATTTCTAGTCTGATTTAGTGATGCTTAATGTTTGGTTTAGGACCTTAGACCAAGGTGCATATTTTACACATCAAAACAGACCAGGTCTTCAGGTTCTCCCAGCATCCCTTAGTCCCTACCTGGTATAACCTGCTCCAACCCTGAACTTTCCAGCGCAGGGGCTGGACTACCTTTCCCCCAGAGACTCTTCCCTATACAATCCAGACATTTTGGCCTCCCTGTTTGCTTCTCTGCCCTTTCCTGCCCCACCCCCATCCCCATAGTGACTTCCCTGGCCTCAGTCCTTGGGGCCAGTGAACTCACCTGAGAGCAGCTTCCCAATAAACCCACCTTTAATATATTCTCATCTGGTTCAAATTGGCTCATTTCAGGCAGAGAAATAACCTATCACTTAACTCCCCTCTTGGCGGACTCTTCCAAAGTCTCAACCTACTCTGATAATCTGTCCCTGCTCTTCTGATGGCACTTGTACCACTCTCCCTTCGCTATTAAGTCAGTCAGACTACAGTGCCTGTGGCCATCCCTGAGAGGGTCATTTAGGGCTTCTGCTCCAAAAGAGCAGAGGCTCCCCTTTGTTCACCAGGCAGCTTCAGTATCCTGAACACGGTCTTGTGTGCAGAAGATGACAAGTGTTAATACAATATAGCACTTGTTGAATGAAATAAAGCATTGAAGAGTCAGAGAAATAACTGTAGGTCCCTGGTCAGTCATGTAGGTTTCAGAGCAGAGACCATCAGGTAAAGGAAATAAGTCTTGATTCTTAAAATGTGAACAAGCGGGACTTAATCAGAACATAGTGGTTTACACACAATGATAGGAACAGAACCCAAGAAGCCATAGATTGGAATTTGCAATGGAAATTCCTGGAAAGATGGATTGCTTACATGTATGAATAAGTGAAAAGAATGGATAAAAGATAATCTTAAAAAAAAAAAAAAAACAAACCCAACGAGAAGACGTAGAGCCAGAAAGATGGCAAGATGGCTGGTTGTTTAAGAGTGCTTACTGCTCTTGCAGAAGACCCGGGATTCAACACCCCACCCCACTTCCGTGCACTCTTCTCCTCGCACGTCGCATGGCAGCTCATGATAGTCTGCAACTCCAGTTCCAGGATGGTATACAGACTTACACCCAGGCACAAATACATAAAATAAGATAAATAAAATACATAAATAAAACATAAGAGTTTTAAACATAGTAAATATGTTTGATTATAGATGTGCCCTGAAAATACAGCAGGCAGTGTTAGTGAATAAACTGTAACACAGGAAGTGAAGGATCTAATGACTCCTCCCTAAATTCATGGATTAAGCAAACTACAGAAACGGCCATATACTGTAACAGGTAAGACTGAAGGAAAAGTTTGGGCTGGGCCATGGACAAAGCAGTCTGGCGTCCATCACAGGGCAGAAGACGTCCACCTACTGTACACGTGCAGAGGGACGGAAGAACAATTGGAACCAGACCGATCAATATCTGAGGCGTCCCTCAGCTGGGAGAGGTAGGCAGTAGGACGACAGTGAGCAGGCTTGGCCGGGCGGGCCTGGCTTCCCTACTGCTGAGAGTGGCTTGCCCTCCCTCCCGCTCAGGTCTCCAGAGGCGTCTATGGCCAGACGGCGAGAGTGAGAACACGTACCAGCAAAACCTAGGCCTTTCCTGGGTCTCCCTTCACCAACTTGGCGCTGCTCCCCGCCCTCGAGCCCACGCCCCCCGGCGCGCGCGTGCGCAGAAAGCCCCTGAGACGTCACCTCTCTCAGGAAGTCTCCAAAATCGTCGGCGCAGGGGCCGCCGGGAAAATACCGCTGGGCCTGTGCAAAGCTGAGGCGGGATCGCTACGGCCCGGATAATTTAGCTCGCCGGCCAGAAGGTCCCAGAGTGGAAAGCCGGAGGAGGCGGCCGCGCTTGGGCTTGCAGACGCCGGCCTTCTACTGCGGAGCCCATCCGGTGCCTCTCCGCTCGCGCTTCCGGCAGGCGTCGTGAGCGAGTGCGCCTGCGCGCTGCTCAGTCCGCGCGCCTCGCCGCTGACCGCGCACCGGCCGGCCGGCAGCCCGACGGTTCTGGTGTTGCAGGCGACTCGCAACTCAGATCCGCCGCGCACCAGCAAGCAGCATGTCGCGGAGGCGGCACAGCTACGAGAACGATGGTAAGAGCTCTCGGCCTGGCCATCGCGCCCGGGTGAGAGCTGAGGCCGGGCTGCCTTCGGTCTCCAGGGAACAGATAGTCCTTTCTCCCCTGGAGGGTTCGGGGATCCCCGAAGGGAGGCTGCTGGCTTGGGTGTGGATAGTGGCTTCAGGAAAGCGACGGCCTCCTTGTTGCCCCATCTCCTTCAGTTATGGGGAAGGAAGGCCTGGCGAACCCCGTGGGCAAACCCGACCTGAGGTCCGGCGACACTGAAGATTTAATCCCTCACTACTGATCATGGAAACACACGTGTGTCTGCTGCTGCCCCTTAGGGTCAGTTAGTGGCGGGGATCTAGTGGACCAGTGTTTTCGTTTTAACCATCCAGGGTGCACTTGGAAAGGACCCTGGAAAGATAGGTAAGGAACAAAGCTATGATGTCGGATGTATTCCAATCTGAGCCCTGCTCCTCTACCTGCCACCCGCTGATTTCCCTCTTTTACGCTTCAAGGGAAGAGTACCAACACCCCAGAGGTCACTGATTAACACACGTGCTGTTTTGTTGGATTGACCTTAAGCATAGTTCCCTATATAAGAAAGTGCAGGAAAACTAACCTGAGGAGATTAGTAATTCTCATGTCAGTTTTGATAGTCGCCGGCAAGGAGGTCGTTGTGTTGCCATAAATTTTGTTGCCAAGCTCAATTTTGTACCATTGCCTTTTCAAGGGCACAGCCATACACAAAAGTGAAACTTGGAGCTGTTGATATTTAAGTGAATTCCTCTTCGAAATGTGTGTTAGGTCCAAAGGGTTAGGACAAGAAAAAACTTTAGGACCTAAGGGTTTAGCTTCAAAGCTCGACATCTGCTATTTACTATGTGATCTTGTCAGGGTCATATGATTTCCTTAAATCTGAGTGTGGACTGTGGATGATACTTAGCCATTTGATTCTAAGGGGGCTAAAGCGGTACTGTGCTTTATGTGTGTTCGTGTGTTCATGATGATGTTTATTTTATCAACTGTAATGTCTCGGAGGTGATACACACAGATAAATGCTAACATCATTAAGAAAAAAGCCCCCCAAAATTTAATTGGGTTAGCTTTCTCCCTTGGAATGTTAAGACAACCAAGCGGAATCACACATAGTGGACCACCATACATCATTCTAAGTTGGTTCTCTCCACCCCATCGGCATAGCTGCTCTGCATGCTTGTTTTGTTTTTAACATGATGGCTTCTTGTGTAATGCATGTACAGAACACAGGAAATACAGCTTTTCTCTGTGTTGTATTTGACTAGTGGACTAAGCTGCTTTGGGTCAGAGAATTTGTTTTTGGTCTTCATCCCTAGTTCTTGTTCTCTCTTTTCCGTTCTTTCTCTCACTTCCAGGGTACCCCTAAGTGAGGCTGGCACTGGAGAATTAGAATATAAATATATAGAAAACCTCTTTTGGTTTGGTTTAGGAGGCTTGCAAAGTTTTGGTTGTAGTTGGCTTTTTTTACCCCAGCTAGCAGCTGAATCATTTTCCCAGTTGAGTCTGGCTACCGAAACCTTAGAGAGTAAATAGGACAAAGTGACATAAAATTAAGCATTTGTTCATAGAAATTCAGTATAGCAAATCATTTCGTGATAGAAAGGCTGTTTATATAGTTCCTCCAATTGTAGACATATGGAAATGTACTTTATTAGACTTAAATAATGAATTTAGTGATCTAAATAAAAAATTGTGCTACTTTTTAGTGAAATGTCTACAATTTTTTTAAAAAATAGCTATTTTACAGGTGGCTAGGGATTTTAAAGGGATCAGAGCTAACTAGATCTAAGCATTTCTGGTTATTGTTAGCTCTACTCTGATGTTCCTTATGCTAGGCTGTGTATAGTTGGCCTTCTGAGTCTTCTTTCTCTCTATCCTTGAATTAAGCAATGTGGTTACAAAATACTTGAAAGGTGTCGGTACTGAACCTGTAGTTAATTTTTTCCTTGTTATTTACTAAGTGATACAATGTCCCAACTATGTATATAGCACTTAGATTCTATATGATGAGTAATGTAGAGATAGTGTAAAGTATCACACTATGCATAGTTCATGGGCAGATACCAACACCACTTTTTATATAAGGGACTTGAACATCATTGAGTTTTGGTATCTGAGTTGGAGGCCTGTGAATACTAAAAACAACTGTATAATATAATCAGGACTTGCTAAACAATTTCCTAACTACTGTACTTGCAGTACAGTTGGAGGCAGTAAAACAGTAGAGGTTCCCTCCCTTGTATCAAGACAAAACCCACAGCAGTATAATAATTCATTATATGGTCACAGGGTTGTGGAGAATAAAGTGAGGTAAGGGTATAGAGACCAAAATGAGAGAGAAGCTGGTCAGGTAAGGCCTGCTTGTAGATGGCCTATGACTTCAGTGATGTCAAGATAAGCCATGTGGATGTTTGGAGAAAGCAGAGGTCCAAAGGAAACTATGAGTTAAGGTTAGAACATTTCTGTCATGTTTAGAAAACAGACAGCAAGGAGGTTATTGTTGGTAGAAGAGAGAAAGCGAGGGTAGAAGTTATGAGACGTAAGACCAGGGAGTTTAGATGAGGCTCTTACCTTACTGGGTCACTTTAAACATTTCTGGTAGGACTAGACTATTAGGGATTCACAGAGATATTATAAGGTAGCTAATCAATAAAGTTCCTGAAGTTTATTTAGAGTCACAGAAAGGGACATTGTAAATGGAAAGTACCAAATCTAACTCAGTCTTAGACTCTTTTGCTTGTTTGTTTTTGAGACAGGGTCTCTATGTGGCTGACTGTCTATGTATATGGTCTTGGCTGTCTAGAACTATGCAATTCAGGCTGGGACTACTGTTACTATGTCCTGACTATATAGATCCCACTGACCGCCCCTGCCCTCCCCCAAGGGGAATACCATGTCTAGCAGTCTTAGATTCCTTAACAGTGTCTCTGAACCTCTTCAATTAATATTGGATTTACATTTTATCGGTGTTAAGTATACTGTCTTATTGTTAACAAGGAATTTAGAGCTGGGCAGTGGTGGCACAAACCTTTAATCCCAGCACTTGGGAGGCAGACGCAGGCAGATTTCTGAGTTCGAGGCCAGCCTGGTCTACAGAGTGAGTTCCAGGACAGCCAGAGCTACACAGAGAAACCCTGTCTCGAGAAAAAAAAAAAAAAAAAAAAAGAAGGAATTTAGATTGTTCAGAGTCGGGCTGGAGAGGTGGCTCAGCCATTAAAGGCTAGGCTCACAACCAGAAGTATAAGATTGTTCAGAATCTTAGTCAAAAGACCATATAGCCTATTGTACTTCCACATAGGTCTTTATATTTTACTGTGACTGATGTTTTTAAACTTAACTGTATGAAAAGTTCCTTATACTTTAGGACAGTATACTTTGTTTCAGAGGTGATATTTTTAGACATTTTAAATTCTTGTTTTAAGTTTGTAGAGTCAAAGTTACTTTTTTCTTTCATTGTGTTGGTTTTTTGTTTACTTTGTTGATCTAAATTACACATCTGATTCTAATAAGTATATAGGAAATAGTACAATGTATCCTTGTAACATTAGGTTCCTATTACAGGGAGAAAATTAGCTGGTGTCTTATTTATTTGTTTGTTCTGTTTTGTTGTCTGTTTTCCACCCACCCACCTCCACTGTTTTCCTCTGTGGAGCCCTGGCTGGTGTGGAACTGGCTGTGTAGATGGGGCTGGCTTCAAACGCAAGAGATTTGCCTGCCTCTGCTGCCAAAGTGCTGGGATTAAAGGCGTACATCACCATGCCGGACCTTTAGAGTGGTTATTAACATAAAGCTCTCTTCTCTGCACTACCTAAGTGTATGTAGCAATATGTAACTTTAACATATATTGTAAAACTTACATAGCAATGTTTTAAAGCCTTTTCTGGATTATGGTGCCAACATAAATCTGTTTCTCTTTTATTGTTTAAGGCATGAAAACATTCAGCTAATTCCCCAAAGAGGGTCTAAAATGTCTTAATAAGGTGTTTTTCAACCTTCCTAGTGTTGTCACCCTTTAATACAGTTCCTCCTGTTGTGGTAACCCTAATCATAAAATTATTTCATTGCCACTTCATAATTGTAATTGTGCCACTGTTGTGAATGATAATATAAATATCTGTTATGCAGGCTATCTGATATGCAACCCTGTGAAGGGTCATTTGACTCCCAAAGGTGTTGCAACCCATAGGTTGAAAACTGCTGCTCTAAGATACCTATCTTTTTCTTACTCCGGCTGGCTGCCTTTTTCTTTTTTCTTTTCTTTTCTTTTCTTTTTTTTTTTTTTTTTTTTTTTTTGAGAAAAGGTCTAAAAAAATAAACAACAATTAAAAAACCACTATACTTCATGAATTTAGGCTAGTTGATCAAGGTGCTCCAGGGACCTGCCTGTTTCCACGTTTTACAGGCAAGTGTTACTCAGGCAGGTTCTCCTGGTTGCTCAGTGAGTGCTTTACCCAGTGAGCCACCCCCACTCCCTAAACCTTATGGTTGTTGTCCATATATCTGCTCATGGTGTGTGTTTGGGTGTCCTTCTGTCACTCTCTGCCATGTTAGACTGAACATGTGACTATTTCACCACTTTACGTAGTAGTTTAGTTACATCATCAGATTAACAAGTACTGTTGAGTCTCTCAGGTTCAGGAAGCAACAACTGAGGGGTCAATTAACAGGCTGCAAGAACAGTAGCAGCAGTATTCAGGTTACTGCTGTTTCGTATGTCAGTGCCATTGCAGTGTATTCACAGAAATAGACATAGCTCCCTGGATGCTGTCTAAACAAAGTTTAACTGAAATCTGTCTCCTGGCATTGTTGTTTATAGTAATCTTAATAGTAGAGACAAGGGTGAGGAGTTGGAAAGATGGTTTAGCAGTTAAGAGCCCTGGATGTTCTCTGGAACCCAGGTTTAATTCCCAGCTCTCAGACTGTCTCTCACAGATGTCTATAACAGACGTTACAGGGCATCTGGTGTCCCCTTCTGGCCTTCATGAGCTCCAGACATACAAGTAGTACACAGTCATAAATGTAGACAAACCATCCATGCACATAAAGTAATAAAAAATTATATACGTGTGTGTGTGTGTGTGTGTGTGTGTGTGTGTGTTTACATATAGAGAGAGGGAGTCAGGGAGAGAGACTGGGGTCTGGAGAGATGGCTCAACAGTTAAAAGCATTTGAGAACTGGGATTGGGTGTCAGCATGCTCAGAAGCTGGGCATGCAGTACATGCCTTTAAAACCCCAGCTCCAAGGCAGAGAGGAGACAGGGATTATCACTAGGACTTGCTGGCTTCCAACCTAGCTAGGAAAAGTAAGCCCCATGTTCAGGGAGAGACCTTGCCTTAAAGGAATAGTGTGGTGAAAGAGGATGCTCTTTAATGGGAGTGTACTAGCATAGGGACCTGTATACATGTGTGCATCACTCACATTAGCACAAACAAACCTTTAAAGGATGTGGGATACAAGTTCTCCAGGTGCCTAGCCTAGTTAAAACAGGGTTGGTTTTGAGCTACTCTAAAAAGTACAACCTAATACAAAAGGTATTAAAGGCTAAAAAGGTGACAAAAACTGACAGTAGATTCATTATGTAATTTTGCTTTTTTTTTTTAATGTTGTGAAATAGGCGGACAGCCTCACAAAAGGAGGAAGACGTCTGATGCAAATGAAACTGAAGATCATTTGGAATCTTTAATATGCAAAGTAGGGGAAAAGGTATGCACCAAGCCCAGGGGTTAGGGTTGTGATTGACATCCTTGATTAATTTCCAAAGTTGTACTGGGTAGTGTAGTTTTTAGACAAAGTTTTTATTACTGCACATCTGTATCTCAAATCGAAAGTGTTTTAAAACTCCTGGGATTCAGATCATTAAATTTTTTCAGTAAGTAGTTTTCATTAGATAAGTCTTAAGCAGACCTGGGGAATAGTCTTCTCAGTATAGCTGACCTGAAGCAGACTGATGCCCGAGACAGTGGTAGATCCTTAGTGAGAGGCAGAATGCAGCCCGTGCTGTCCTCTCGCTTGGAAGATTTCATTGACTCTTTTTGTAGAACAGTAGCTACTGGAATTGATTGATGCTGAGGGAATTGTCCACGAAATTGTCATCAGTTCTTGTTTTCTTTCTTAGTTTTAATCCACTGACTGCTTGAGTGTTAACTGGTAATTAATAATGTCTTCTGCAGAGCGCCTGCTCTTTAGAGAGCAATCTCGAAGGCCTGGCTGGTGTTTTAGAAGCTGATCTTCCTAACTACAAGAGCAAGATCTTAAGGCTCCTTTGTACAGTGTATGTATGTAAAAGATTTGTGGATCCAGGTGATGATGTATTATCTACTCTTGTGTGCTTTGGGAAATGTTCAGAGGACATGCTCACGTTGATTAGTCACTGGCTGTCCTTCTGTCCTGAAACCCGTGCTCATGAAATGTTCATCTTTGCCCTTTGCTGAACTTAGTTTTTCAAAGGACTAAATAGGACTTAAATGACATGTTTTCCTTATGTTTTGTTTCTTAGAATTTTAAAATCATTGAAGTTAATTTTTTTAACTCAGAAAATAGATGAGAAAGTAGATGTCTTATTTAGAGATGCTTTTTCCCCCACCAAGGAATGAGTCACATTTAGATGTTTAAAGTAGGGTTTAGCTCCGTTGTGGGGTGTGTGTGTGTGTGTGTGTGTGTGTGTGTGTGTGTGCGTGCGTGTGCGTGCGTGCGTGTGTTATTAGTAGAACCAAACATATTGGAAAACTAAGTCAAGTGGGTGATCTCTCTTGAGGGCTGAAGATGCCCTCGAAGCTTTTAATGACTTAATTGTCCTTGATCCTGTATGAGTATTTTACTCCTCTGCCTATGGAAGTCGGAAGAGAGCATTGGATGCCCTGGAACTGGAGTTTCAGGCAGTTATGAGCCACCATGTGGGTGCTGGGAATCCAACTTGAGTCCTCTGCAAGAATAGGCGTTCTTAACTGTTGAACTCTCTAGACCCATAGATAAATTCTGTTTGCAAAGGAATCCAGTCAGTTCAGAGAAATGTATATCTAGACTAAGAAACTATGAAAACGATCATTTTAGTATAGTTATCCATACAATACCCTCTGTTTTGATAGTATGTATTGCAGAATTGTTATGCTGGTGAAGCTGGTGGAAGCCATGCTTGCTCGTGTAAGGCTGGCCTGGTATTGATTAACAGTGCCCTTTAAAATCTTTTTACTTGGAGAAAGTTTTAGGGACCATGGTGTACTTTCAATACAAGTAGTTTTTGAGCTCCTAAATCCTCCTCTGTGCCCAACAAGATACCTTAGAAAAATGTAAGAGAATTCTCCACAGAATTGTCATTAGTACTTACTTGATTATTTTGCGCTATGTCCAAAGGCTTCGTTAACCTTGTGTGTAAGTCCATGTGTGGGTGCACATGTGCTGCAGCATGTGTGGAGGTCAGAGAACGATTTGGAAAAATCTGTTCTCTCAAACTCAGGTTGGCAAGGAAGAGCCTTAACTGGCTCAGCCATCTACCTGTCCTCAGCATGTTCTCAACTTGATTAGCGTGCCGTGTTTTAAGCATTTCTTAGAGGAACTTGGTGGAAACTCATTTTAGTTCTTTATTTTTTATAAGCAATCCAATAATGTTTCTCCAAGAGGAATTCTGGTCCCATGGTGTTTGGCTATCTAAGTTTAGAAGCTCTGAATGCTTCCCCTGAATGATTCTGCATTAAAGAGTTTCATTTCATGGAACACTTCAGAGATCACCATAGAAACCGTCTTCTTTGGGACTGTTACTCACTTCCACTCCACACATTAGAAGAAAAACTGCTCTAACATGAGTTACATTAATTTTGGTGTGATAACTTCACAAGAAACTGTTCCTTAGCTCTTGGATTAACTAAAATGAAAAATATTAGAGTCTGTATCTGCATACTTTTCAGTGATACTATGTCTTTTCTGAAGTCATTTTCAAAACATGGTTAAAAATAATTTTGTTCCAAAGTTATTTAATGTTAAAAGCTTCATGTACAATTCAACAGCTTAATATAAAACCTTTGTTTTGGGGTTGTTTTGTACGGGTTCTCAAATCAGTGCACGTCTGTTACCTGAGAAGCTAACAATTTATACAACATTAGTTGGACTGCTGAATGCCAGAAATTACAACTTCGGAGGAGAATTTGTAGAAGCAATGATTCGTCAACTTAAAGAGTCACTAAAAGCAAATAACTATAATGAAGCTGTATATTTGGTAAGTTTAATACATATGTGTGTGTGTGTAATATATATAAATTATATAGATAATTTATAATATATGTTATAAATTAGTATTGAAATGAAGGAAAGAAGGTACTGCAAGTCCTGAAATTCCTGTTATTTATACCCCTCTTCTGTAAACTCAGCAGCTCATTCATAGGGCCACTGTCTACGGGTAAGCTGTTCAGAAAGCTGACATTAATTTTTACCTTTTCTTTGCGTCCTTTTATGTCTCTAACCTCTCTAAATCCCATCTCCCAAACCGCCTTTGTCCCCATGGCTTCTGGTACAGTTCGAAACTGTTTTGTGTTCTTAGCTTCCTCCTTATTTGCTGGTTTCCATCTACTCTGCCTTTGAGTCTGTCTTCAATAATAGCAGCAGTATAGCCTTTGTATAACTAGGCTCTGCTCATGTTGGCTACTGGTTAAAAGCTTCATTTCCTTCCTATGTTTTATAGTGGGCTGTTTTTAACAGTTTCATGTATGTCCGTATGTCAGATATTCTAGTCACATTGGTCCCCATTATCTCTCTCCTGCTCTTGCTGTACTCGTGCTAGCCACCTGCATGTCTTTTTGCACAAGAGTGACTTACTGAATTTAACTAGGGTTGCTTGCATACAGGTGTGGGAAGTTATTTACTGGAACATGGGCACCTTAGTAATGGCTACACAACTGAAGGAAATACCTTCTTCCCCCGAATCTTAACTGTGTGGTAAATATTTAATATTAATCGGGGATTTCTATACTGCCTTAAATCATTCATTTCCCAGATAAAAGACGCACAACCTTTACATTTATAATAAGCCTAAACAGCATTAGAGCTGGGCAGATATCAATCCTGTATAACTATTTTGTCTACTTCTCTGTCAATAACTATGAGTTATAATTTGCCGTGTTCCACCTGGGCCACTCTTAATCTAATTGGCCAAACACCCCACACACACCCCACACCTGCATCTCTGCCTCATACCCCAAGCCCAGAACCTAAGCCCCACCTACTTCTGTTCTGCACAGCTATAGGCATCTTTTTTGACCCATTAGGGATAACTTTTGGGGCAAAGTACTTAGCATCACTTAGTTAAGTGAAGATCTCCTTGTCCCTGAGGCAACCAGGACCAGTATTTAGCATTATAATACACAACAACAGACCAAACTTCAACAGTTAACTGCCAATAGCTCCTCTGGAAAGGATGGGGCTTTGTGAGCTCCATCCTTATCCATGAGAGAAAGTTGACCTGCCCTGTCTTGGGTAGGTTTTGTGTAGCTGCTGTAAATTGTAAGTACTGTGGCCATGTCCTGTCCAGAAGACAGCATTTCCCAGGCGCCTCCCAACCTCTGGCTCTGAGATTCTTTTTGCAATGTAGAGCCTTTATGTGTCTTTTATGGAAGGAAATGGAATTCAGTCTTACTAATACCTAATACATAAATTAGTAAGTATCCAGTGTTTACTGTAAGTAAATACATATGTGCTGGAGATATGTGATCAAGTTAGTTTTTACTGAAGACAAGTTCGAGAAACGGGATTGTATTAGGATATAGGATTAAGGGCTTGGTCTTTTGTGATTGCCCCAGTAGGATTGCATTCTCTTGTCCCCTGTAACCCTGCAGTTATATAAATTTACTTGCACAGCCTTCTGCCAAGAATGCCTTCCCTGCTCCCCCTTAGGGCTTTACTCAGCCTTTATATCTCTGCCTGGGTTTCTCCTTATTGTTCTTTTTCCTTGTCCCTGGTGTCTCCCAAGGGCCCTCTTTAATTTACCTTTTAGTGTAGGAGTAATCCCTTTTTGTTTAGATTATGTTTGTCCCAAATAGGTTGAGTTCCTTAAAACAGTACCTAAGTACTGTTTACTTAGCCTGGCACACACTGGAAACCCAATAAATCTCTCTTTTACTTAAAACTTCTGTTTCTATATTTCAGCAAAAATTATTCCAGATTGAAAGGCCAACCTACTTGAGTGGAATGGAGTACCATGAATATTTGACTGTCTAGGTGCTTAATGTAGCATGGCCTGGTATGCTACAGTACCATAAGTAACTGAATGGACGGACATGAGCTGTCCTCCCCTGCAAGTGTGCTTATGGGCACTGACATCGGAATCCATGTCATTTTGTATAAATATTGTTTTAAGCCTTAAATTTAAAGACTTCTTGGCTGACAGATTGTAAAAACAAAAACATAGTAAACTAAATATAGGCGGAGGTTTTAGTTTCCTAGGCTGATTAAAGGTTGTTTATTTTGTAACTATTGTGAAGGACTGTTAGGTTTAATGCAGATATTGTTTACCCTCACAGGTCCGTTTCCTGTCTGATCTTGTGAATTGTCATGTGATTGCTGCCCCATCTATGGTTGCTATGTTTGAGAATTTTGTAAGTGTAACTCAGGAAGAAGATGTGCCTCAAGTAAGCACCCTCTATCGAATCTTTTCTGTGCAACACTGTTACTGGACTTTTGGTTTTGTTTTCCCCACTGATAACAGCAATAAACAAAATGCAGTAGTATATTATCACACTGTAATGCTTAATATCTGAAGGGCAAGTCAGCTGGCTTACTGGTGGGTTCTCTTGATAGCTTTGTGTTAATTAAAATGATTCAAATAAGATTAGAAATATATATTTGGAAATTCTCTGGGTTAGCCAGGTGTTTTATTTAAGCTCTATTGAAAAGCCTCCCCAGTATTGCATTTATGAGTAAAAAAGATGGGGGAGTTGTGTAGCTCTCTTATAGAGTGCTTGCCTTGCATCTAACCATGGAAAGACAGACTAGTTAATAAATAAAATTAACTAGCATGCATTTTTTTAATTACCCTTTTAAACTTGTTCAGGTGCGGCGGGATTGGTATGTTTATGCGTTTCTGTCATCCTTGCCCTGGGTTGGGAAGGAGTTGTATGAAAAGAAAGATGCAGAGATGGACCGCATCTTCTCCACCACTGAAAGCTATCTCAAGTAAGGCGGCTGCTGTCACGCTTCGTTGTTTGCATAAAGATGCAATAAATGCCTTAAGTTCTCTGTTAGCAGTAACACCAGCTCCAAAGTTACAGAAAATGTTCATTAAATTTTATTCTCCTGCTGCTATAACTCACTAAGACCGCAGTACTTTGTTAGTACAGCAAGTTGGTAAGGAGTCTTTTAAGCTGTTTTCCTATGGTCATGATAGAACACCCAGGTATAACAGCTCCTCGGGGTTCTAGTGTTCGAAAGCTGAGAGTCACCTGTGGCTTAAAATTACCTCTCTGCTGCTCAGGCTACTGAGTTGACTGGGAGGACTTGAGACATGTTACTAATATGTTCTGAATAGGAGCACTGCCCTGACACAGAGTTTTATTTCATGCATATTAATTCTAAGCCAAGCCGTTCCCCAGGCCAGTGTAAAAAACGTGCTTTGTTTTATTAGGTACAATCAAATAATGGGCCTTGTTAGTGAACATCCCTAGTTACCTCACAACATAGTGATAATGATCATGTGTTCCTTCAGCTTTCACAGATTGATTTTTTTTTAAAGATTTATTTATTTATTTTATTTATGAATATACTGTAGCTGTCTTCAGATACACCAGAAGAGGGCATCCAATCTCATTACGGATGGTTGTGAGCCACCATGTGGTTTCTGGGATTTGAACTCAGGACCTCTGGAAGAGCAGTCAGTGCTCTTAACCGCTGAGCCATCTCTCCAGCCCCCACAGATTGATTTTTATCATATATCTTTGAATACCATTAATATTATTTGGTTGGGTCCAAATGAACATGCCATCTAAAGACTTTTTTTACATATCTGTGTGTATGCAAATATGTGTATATATGTGAGTGTGGAAATATATGCCTGATTTTATATAAATGACAATCTAGCATATATATACTTATTTACACGCACATGTACTTATTTACATTCTTTTTTCTTTAATTTGAAATTGTTATATAAAAGCACGTGGTTCTGTCTGATTGGTTTTATTAACAGTATTCTTTTTTTTTTTTAATAGAACATAATTTCTCTTCATTAGTCCACTCTCTGTGGATATTTAGCCTGTGCAGGTTCCTGGTACTATATATAAACAAGATTCAAATATTCTTGTGTGTATGTATGCATATGTATTTGCGGCTGTATTTATGGGGATATGAATTCATAGAAATGACATTGTTGGGTACATATTCAGAACAGTTGAGATTTTTGACAGATAGAGTCAGATAGTCTTCCAGAGACATATTCTTCCAGGATCGAGGTTGTACCAATTAATACTCTGTGCCCTCAGTGTTTGAGATACAGAAATGCCTATATTCTGATAGACCATTATCAAAAATGTTGATCTGCTGATCTGATGGACAGAAATGTTTTTCGTTGCTGTAGTTAGTCATGAGAACCATTGAATGTCTTTTATGTTTTAAACCCTAAGTGTAGATTTTCATGTTTATCTTTAGAAGACGCCAGAAGACTCACGTGCCCATGTTACAAGTATGGACTGCCGATAAACCACATCCACAAGAAGAGGTGATTGATTTCCATCTTGTAATATAAACACAGCTCTTGAGTAGATTCTTGGCTCTATAACGTGCTTAAACTGAGTCAGGGAGATGACTCGGTGGGTAAAGGTGCTTCCACCAACCCTACCCGACATTCAGTTCCCAGGACCCACACAGTGGAAGGAGGACACTGATCCCTACAGGCTGTCCTGCGAGCTCCACTTGTGCTCTGTGAGCCATGTGCCACACAAATGAGGAAAAGTACAACCTTAAGAAATGAAATTTAATCAAAAACTTAAAATCCCATTCTTTACTACTGTATGAAATACCAAACTAGTTCACTTTGTTATGCATTTTAGATGGTAGACTTTTTTGTTTAACCAAAATGTATCTACTAAATATTAAAATCTCTTTTTAGTATTTAGATTGCCTGTGGGCCCAGATTCAGAAATTGAAAAAAGACCGGTGGCAGGAAAGGCACATCCTAAGACCCTACCTTGCCTTTGACAGCATCCTCTGTGAAGCACTACAGCACAACCTGCCTCCTTTCACACCACCGCCTCACACAGAAGACTCGGTGTACCCAATGCCCAGGGTCATCTTCAGGATGTTTGACTACACAGATGACCCAGAGGTACATGAGTGGCCAAGATCTCCAGGAAGGGCCTGGCTTGAAGCTGTGCTTGTGACTTAGTTTCCTTTGACTTATGTCTTAGATATTTTGAGACAGAGTTTCTCTCTCTGGAGCCCAGATTGGCTTTGAGCTTACAAATTCTCTTACCTCAGCCTTTCAGGTGCTGGCTGGGATTACAGGCTTGTACCACCTTGCTCAGCTCTGAAATAATCTTTTAATTTTCAGGGTTTTGGGGTTTTGGTGGTTTGTTGTTGTTGTTTGGTAACATAAGATTTTAAATCAATTTAATGTTTTAATTCAGCAAACTATATCACCTTGTTGTGCAAAAACTTTTGCTTTACTCATGTAAATAAGAAAGACAGCATAGTTTAACAATCAAGAGGGTAAGTTGAATGCCAGTTAGCCAGCATTTTCATGTAAATACAACCTGGACCCGGAGGAAAAGATTTACTTCCTATGCCTGGCTCCCAAGGAATAATAGTATGTTTCCCTAGGCAGATTAAACTATTGTCACATGTTAAATACCTTGAACAGTGACTCATGATGTGTGCTCAGTTTTAGCTGTTAGGGTAGGGGTGTGTGGTGTGCATGTGGTGTGGTAGCTAGAGGGTAACTTCAGCTGTTGTTCACTGCTCTTCACCCTTGGAGGATGGGGTTGGCAAGGTCTCTCGATGAACCTGGAGCTCACCATTGTAGCTACACTGGATGACTACTAAGTCTACAAATCTACCTATCTTGAGATTCCCACAATACTGGGGATAGAGGTACATGCCACCTGGTCTAGCTTTTAATGTGGATTCTGGGGGATCTTCCACTGAGCCATCTCCCGGGCACCATGTCTAGCTAATTTTTATTGTTTGTTTAGTGTATGTCTCTCTCTGTAGCCCAGTCTTCATTGTGGCAATCCTCTTGCCTTGGCCTCTTAAATTCTGAGGTAGTACTTATGAACCACTATGCTGAATATTTCAGCTTTCTTTTTTTTTTCCTGAGAAAGGGTCCCTTATAGCATTGTATTTGCTATTACAGTTGAAGTCCTTTAACTTGTGATCCTCCTGTGTTTGCCTCTGTTGTGATTACAAACATTCCCAACCATACCCAGTTCTATGTGTTGCTAAGAATTGAACCCAGGGCTTCGTGCGTGCTAAGCAAGCACTCTACTGACCAAGCTACACTCCTGGTCAATAACTATTTAGCTATTGTTAATATTTAAAAAAAAAATCTTCCTTTTCTAAATTGTCCATTATTTTTAAACATCTCAGTTTAAGTTATTTATATTGTACAATTATTAAAGTATTTTACCAGCCTCCCAAGTTAACATTCTAAGTTTTATAATACTTTTTATGTTTTTTATTATGAAGCTAAATTGTTGGTAGCTTTTTAATAGGAAAACATGATTTTGTTGTGATATTGGATTTAAAAATTGATATTTTAAGCACATACTAAATATTTTGTATCTCAATGTGTATGTGTCTGCCTTGGGGCCACGCAGCAAGCATATGACTGCTAGATTGTTTCTGGAGAAGTTAGCTTTAGCTAAAGTACCAGAACTGCTGCTTGCTCCGTCCTGGTTGCATGTGGCAGTTCAACCTCATCCCCAGCACAGTAAGTAGGCTTTTCAGGGTACAGGTTCATGAACAAGCACTGTCCTGTGTATTATAAGGTGCTGGGCCTGACTCTACTTCTCTGGTTACCTATGCCACATAGAGTTTCATGCACCAAATTACTTAGAGAGCAAATGTATTTCAAGAGTGGGACTTAAAGTCTATATTGTTGGCACAAGTGAAATAACAAGTATATATAATCAAAACCAGCTGTCTTTGTATGAAGTGCCGTTGCACAGGACCTTTGGTTTGGTTTTGATCTTGTTGTTTATTTTTCTTATTTTTTTAAAAGAAAAAAATACAAACAAATATAAAGCAGAGATTCTAAATGTCCCCTTTCCAAGCTCATGGCTGCTCTTCAGTGTGAGTTTTCAACCTCTTCTCCCTGGATCAGCCCAGAGCAGTCGTGGTCAGGATCATTTCACCTAAGATCAGTTTAATGCCTGTCTTTGATTCCCATTCAGTAGTCTAGCCTTCCCTGAATGCTGGGGGACTTGGTTGCAGGGTCTATATTAAATAATAAGAAAGCACTTTGATTCAAAATTATATGATGACCTAATTAGGTTCATCAACTGAAAATCTAGTTTATATTCATGACATTTAGTCTTTGTGATTAGTTATTATTAGTTGTGGTGAAGGAAACAAGAATTTGACCTCAGTATGTATTTCTTTTATGCTAATTGTATTTCCTTGCTGTTGCTGCACACTGCCTGTCCTTCCTCTGTCGGAGAGTATAATACTCCAAAGTAGTTACTTCAAAATAGCATGTTCTTGTTCTTTTGATAGTGTCTTTTAAGAGTGTTTATTAAATTTAGAAAGTGGGCAATGCTTCAGTGGATAAAAGCATGGGCCTTGAAACCTGACACCAGAGTTCCATCATTATTGCCAGACTCCCATAGTAAAGAGAGCCAGTTCCCCACAAATTGTTCTCTGATCTCCACCAATGCACCGTGGCACACACCCATACACAGTGAATGGATAGATGATAGATGGACAGATAGAGTGATAGAGTTTTCTAAATAAAAAAAAAAAAGATTTGTAAAATGGTTCTGGTGTCATTACTGGGTCTCTCAGGAGCACTATACACTTGATTCTGTGGTAGTTACTTAGCACAACAGTTCAGTCCTAGTCAGTTCAGTTCAAGTATTTATTGAATAAATGAAAGAAATCTGTTTTGTGATTCTGCATATGAGTGCATTTGGTCTTCTTTCTAGGGTCCTGTTATGCCAGGGAGCCATTCGGTAGAGAGGTTTGTCATAGAGGAGAATCTGCATTGCATCATAAAATCCTACTGGAAGGAAAGGAAAACTTGGTAAGATTCCCTCCATGGTACTTTAAAGGGGTAGAAAGACATTTGATTCTTTTATAAGAACGGACTGTATGTTTAGAGATTTTAGGCTGTAGAGATAGCCTAGCAAGCATGAGGACCAGCATTCAGGTGCCCATGTACAAGTCAGGTGTTGGCACTTCCTCAGCTCAGTTCTGGAGACACTGAAACAGGAGTATCCCCAGGGGTTGCCGTCTCAACAGTCAAGCCAATCAGTGAACCCCAGATATTTTGTTTGGAATATTTTTTTTATGTGTATGGGTATTTTTTGTACATGTATAGTTGTATACCAAATGTGTATCTGGTGCCCTCAAAGGCCAAAAGAGGGCTTTGAGTCACCTGTAAAATGGGGTTACAAACAGTTGTGAACTGCCATGTGAGTGCTGGAATGGAGCCTGGTCCTCTAGAAGAGCCGCCAGTCCTCTCAGCCACTGAGCCAGTTCTCCAGCTGCTGAACCCCCGCTGTAGTGAAAAGCCTTGTAAGATAGAGAGGCACTTGAAGAAAACACTCAATTCTTGACCTCTGAATACACACACACACAAGTAAGTTAAAATAGTAGGCTGGTTTTATTTGAATGTGTGAAAATTAAATCTGCTTTCTAGCATTTAGAAACCTAAGTGTTAATAAATTTTCATAGAGCTGGAAAGTTTTGGCTTAGATTTTGAGGAGAAATATATTTAGGAGTGGAGCACCTAGGTTAGTAGATCTGAAGATGCTGGTATTATTACTATGTTTCCATTTTGTGTGTAAGACAAACAGTTCATGCCATGTTACTAAATAACTGAATACTAGACCATTACAGCAGGGAATTTTTTCAGCTAAGTTCACTGCATTTAGACCTGTTGGGTTTCATGTATATCTTTCTTCACTTACTAACTTAAATCATACTTTTTACAGCGCTGCACAGCTGGTGAGCTATCCGGGGAAGAACAAGATCCCCTTGAACTACCACATAGTGGAGGTATGCATGCCATGGGGTGCTAATTCTCACTTTCCCTGTCTGTCTTCTAACTTTGTTCTTTCCTTGCTATTTATCAGGCTCTGAGAATGAATAGAGGGATTATGGAAATGGCCACCAGTTTTGATTCTCAGTTAGCCTTGCTGGGAAAGGAAGAAAGGAGGGTGGGACTCAGAGCTTTTTACCTGTTGGACCATCTTGCTGGCCTCAGCTGCCTCCTCTTTCTCTCTATCTTTTTTAAGTGCCACATGTCTTTACTCCAAGCACCCAGGAGGTGGAGGCAGGTGGATCTCAGAGTTTGAGACAAGCCTGGTCTACTGAAGGAATTCCAGAACAGCCAGGACTACACAGAAAAACCCTGTCTCAAAAAAACAAAAGACCGGGTGTCACCATATCACCCAACCTGATCTGAAACTCATGACCATCCTACCTTATCCTCCTGAGTTGTTGGAACTCCAGGCATGTGCCACCACACATATTTTTAAATCTGAAAATGTATAGAATTCATCATGCATTAAGAGGAAAGAATGCAGACTAGGGTATTAGACTTTTAGGAAAGGGTAGGAAATAGTCTGCCAAAAAGATCTGAGGTCTGGTGTAAGTAGCAGTCTCCATCTCTAGTCCACCAAGAGTTCAAATTACCCACAGGAATGCAGCTCCATTGTTTGAGCCCTTGATATACTGCCTCCCACAGACAACCCCGGACTTGAAAGGATGGTTGATTGTACATCTGTCTCAGCACTGTGGGTCACAGCCGCCTTCATCTAGTAGAAAAAGGGGATGCTCATGTTATTCAGTTGTAGATCTCAGAAAGCATGATTTTTTAAGAATAAAAGGTAATTCCTTTTCCATTGTAGGTGTTGTGGAGTTTGTGGTTGGATTGTAATATGTAGATCTTTCTAGTGTAGAAATGCAAAGATAACTGAGGTGTAGGTTTCTGACTCTGGGTTGTTTCATAGGTGATCTTTGCAGAGCTGTTTCAGCTTCCAGCACCTCCTCACATTGACGTGATGTACACTACACTGCTAATCGAACTTTGCAAACTTCAGCCGGGCTCTCTGCCCCAAGTGGTATCCTTTCATGTTTTAAGTGTACAGGCTTTGGCTGTGCTTTTAAGAGACTGCACTAGGGAGCTACTTTTCCCAGGTTCACCTTCATGTTCCTATTGGGTTTTAGGGATAATGGTTTCATGTGCTTTGTTTTTAAGTAAGTAATACTTTGGACAACATGGATGATTGTGAAGTTAACATACAGCATCTCCCCTGCTTGACATAGAATATGGTGCTATGGCTCACAAGCTCCTTTCTTTTCCCCAGTAGGATTCTGTTACTTTCTCGACACACTAATGCTGGTTTTGCCTTTGCTTTTCTGAGGCAGTCTTACTCTAGCCCAGGATGGCCTCAAACTCCAGGCACTGGGATTACAGGTGTGAGGCCACATTCAGCTATTCATTTGCCTTTCAAAATAATAGTTTCATGAAGAGAGTATATATTCTGCTGTTTCAGGACCTCAGGTTCTCTATAAGGTCATTAGAGAAGTTGCATGATTTGAGTAAGAAGTTCCATGTCTGTAACAGTGTATGTGTGCGTGCGTGCATGCGTGTATGTCACTTACAGTCTCCACCCCCGCTTCCACACACATCCATAATGCTTCTGACTTTTAGTGATAAACGTCAATAGCTTTCCTGTACTTAGGATGGTTTTCCTTACAGCTTTCTTGTATGTCTCATAGACCGTTGTACTTACCTCTAGTCTGACAGTCATTTGACGGCACCCTATTGATCATACCCGTTTTATTTTTCTTTACTGTATCTCTCTTAGATTATGAAAAGTTTGAGGTTTTTACTACATTTTTTTCTGTCTTATAACTTTATCCTACCTGCCTCTCAGTCTTAATTTCTCACCTTCCTTTCAGATAGTAAAAAGATCAGAAAATTCTCCTCTTTTTTTTTTTTTTGGTTTTTCGAGACAGGATTTCTCTGTGTAGACCTGGCTGTCCTGGAACTCACTCTGTAGACCAGGCTGGCCTCGAACTCAGAAATCCACCTGCCTCTGCCTCCCAAGTGCTGGGATTAAAGGCGTGCGCCACCACTGCCCAGCTCTTTTTGGCATTTGAAAGAAAAAATATTCTATATATGATACAATTTAGATGCATATATGCCTTTTTATCCTGGGTATCCATTTCTTTTTATACATCCTGAATGTCCATCTCCAGTTATTTCATATGGAATTTTTGTTTTCAAAGATGGTTTGCTTCTGGTATTCACCACAGTTTTTAGAAAAACTTTGCTTTTGTTGTGATGGTGGTTTTTATCCTTAAGAGATGGGATGACTTTTTAGAGATAGAATTGGGCATACTTATAGAAATTGTATTTGTGATATTTCCAAATCAGAAATAACCTGAGTGTCCAACAGTTCATGAATGGATAAACAAATGTTGTTTCCTTGCAATGGTAATATTCAATTCAGCAACAAAAAAAAAAGACTTATTTTTAACGCAGTGAACAGCATAAGTCGAAAAATAATTTATGCTGAAGGAAAGAACAGATTCACAGAACATGACATTATTTTTGTAAAATTTTGGAAAAATGTAAAGATTCCTTCATGACAGAAGATTATGCTTGGGGAGAGGTCTCAGATGACTGAGGGGCGCATACAAAGGAGCAGTCAGGGTTGCTGTCATCATCAACAGCTTAAACTTGAAAGTCAGGTTAGTTATGTGAAAGGGTGAAAGGCACATACCATCCTTAGGATAAGACTCAGAGGCTGTGCTTCATTTCTCATGTCTCCCGTCACACTTACCTTAAAAGAGAGTGGGAAGTAGTTTTCCTTACCTTCCGATCACAGCTTGCACAGGCAACTGAGATGCTGTACATGCGGCTGGACACAATGAGTACCACGTGTGTAGACAGGTATGGCCGTCGGTGACTTGGCAACTAAGGGCTATATTAGTGCCTGCAGGAATCTTCAGAAGACTGTCAAGGATTTCCAAATTCTTCCCTGCTTTCTAAGACCCTGTTGTGTAATAAATAGCAGCTTTCTTGTTAGAGCACCACAGTTTGGTCTGTGTCAGTCTGGTGATGCCATGCTTGCTTCTCTTTAATAATTTCATTCCTTTTCCTTTAACTTTTCCTACTTAATTGCATATGTAAGTATTTAAGATAAGTTACTTCGAATGATAAATCTAATAATGCATTTATTATATATATAAACATTTATAGATAGTCTGTTTTGAAAGTATAGAGAAGTATCTTCAAACCTGTGGCTGTAAGATTTCATTTTACTTTAAATCAATGAATAACACCTATCTTGGATTGTTAGAGTGAGGTCATTCCATGATCACTGTCTCCTTTGGGGAAAGTCTCTGTGACTGCCTTTACTGGTTTTTTTTCTTCTGTCCATTTCCCAAGTCAGATTGGAGGAAAAACTAAACATTTATTTAATTTCTGTATCTCAAATATTGTATCTAAAAATTATCAGCGAGAACCATCTCTATCCATGACCTTGAAACATTTCAAATGATTGAAATCAGAGTTTTGAGGGAAGTGCTTTAAGAAAGTATCTTCCATTGTCTCTCCTTTAGAGCATACCGACTCCGTAAACATTTTGAGTACTCGAATGGTCTTCATAGTACTATTTAACACACTAAGATGGTTCCTGTCTTGAGAGCTAAGTGTATTTTTTAGTGGGGAACTTGAGGCATATAGGCTGTGCTGACTGAAAAGGTTGTAGTGGGCTTGGAGAAGCTCGGCAATTAAGGTGCTTGCTGCTCTTCCAGAGGACCTGAGTTTGGTTCTCAGCACCCACATCCTGAAGCTTTACAACTACCTGTAGCTCCAGCCCCAGAAGATCCCGTAACCATCTGGCCTCTGGCACTGTGTACACACATACATACAATGTAAATACATACATGAAGAAGGAGTTATACTTTTAAAGGGTCATGGTTTAAGTATGAGAGATTTAAGAGCTGGTGAAAAGGCTCAGTGATTCAGAGCACTGGCTGCTCTTCCCCTGGACCCATGCTCCATTCCCAGCAAAACACATGATGCTTACCCTGGCTCTGCCATTGGTAAAGTATTTGTAAACATTTAACTACAATTTATTTTTTAACAACCTCCATTTCATCAGCAGTTAACATGAGAAAAAATAATACCCTCCTTCATATCTGTAAGAATTATATATTTTGTACAAAACATGAGCTTCAGTTAAAGCTGTTCCCTAGCAAGAATAAAAGGGAGCCCCATTGTGAGAGCTGAGATGTCTGGGGCCTAGGACAGGGAGTCAGAGGCTTTGTTAAGAAAACAGTTAAAGAAGCTACGGTAGTGGAGACAGTTGAGCTGTATAACAGACTTCATAAACTACTGATCTAAATTGCACTCTTCGTTTTCTCTTCTCCCTGCTCCGCTCCCCAATGTAGGTTTATTAATTGGTTTTCTCATCATCTAAGTAATTTTCAATTCCGTTGGAGCTGGGAAGATTGGTGAGTGTTTTATCTTTCCTTATTCAAAACAATTGGAGATTGCTCAGTCAGTACAGTGCTTACTACTCAAACATAAAGACCCAACTTTTGATCACCAGAGCCCCTTTTTAAAAACCATGTTGAGCCCTGCGTGGTTGCACACACCTTTAATCCCAGCACTCAGGAGGCAGAGGCACGCCCATCTCAATGACTTGGAGGCTGGCCAACTACATAGTAAGTTCCAGACTAACCAGCACTACCCAGTGAGACCCTAGTTTTTTGTTTAGTTTAGTTTAGTTTTGTTTTGTTTTGCTTTGTTTTGTTTTGTTTTGTTTTGTTTAAAAAGCCAGTCATGGAGATGGGATTCTAATCCCAGCACTAGGGACATAGGGATTGACAGATCCCTGAAGCTCACTGGCCAGACACTCTAACCTAAAGGGTAAGTTATGGGCCTAATGAGAAACACTTACCTCAAAAATCAAAGTGAATTCACCAGGGCAATAGCACCCAAGGCTATATCTTCTGGTCCCAGCATATGAACGTCACATTCATGTATGCAGCATATGAATACATACATACAGAAGAACCTTAATATTTAAAAATCTATATATTTTATTTATTATTTTTTAAAATATATGAGTGGTCTATCTGCATGTACACCTGTGCATGCTGGAAGAAAGCATCAGATCCCTTTATAGATGGTCATGAGCCACCGTTGTGGGTTCTGGGAATTGAGCTCAGGACCTCTGGAAGACAGCCAGTGCTCTTAACCACTGAACCATCTCACCAGCCTCTAAAACTCACTTTTAAAATAGTCTGTTGTCTCAAGTGTTTATTTCATTGATACTTAGTTACTATATATGTGGATGAGCTAAAAGGTAGAAAGACCCTAGTATCAGCCAGGAAATGAAGGCTATGTGTACAGAAGATTATGCATATTAACTTACTAAATCCAGATTTCCTCCTTAGGTCAGATTGTCTTACTCAGGATCTTGAAAGTCCCAAACCAAAGTTTGTAAGAGAAGTTCTAGAGAAATGCATGAGGTAAGCTCTTTGCCTTTCTTCTTGTTTTAGCTCTCTTAGCTTCTCATGAAGGAGACTGCTTTGAACTGGTTGTTATCTGACAGGATTTCTCTCTCTTCTATTTTGCACTTGCGATGCATGTTCACGGTATTCTTTCTTAAGTCCTGGTGTTTGTCCATCTTCTACCTCACCTTTGAATCAAGATTTAGGCTACAGTTAGTCAGCTGTACCATTTGGATTTTATGTGAATTAAGCCAATAAGATTCTTTTCTTTCAATGTCTCCCAACATTGATGAGCATTTTCTTATTTTCTAAACTTGGGTATTTTTCTAACTTGTATTTTCTTAGCCCTCTCCTATTTAAAGAGCCTTTAGTTTCTAATTAATAGAGTGTTTTGGGAAATTGTGATCTAAGCTCTTAAAGTGTATTTTTTAGGGATAGTTGGGTTGAGGCCTTTGGGAAGACACCATGTACATGCGTGATTATGTGGTATATCCCTCTTTTCACATCCAATCCAACATTGGAAATTCTGTGTAAATGCTCTCTCAGACAGGACAAAGTGTGGCTCTTCCTGTCTCCCATTTATTTCTTTGCTGTGTCACATCCAGCCTCCCAGCTGTGCCATCTGACCTGCACCCAACCCTCTCTCACCAGCAGCCTGTGGGTCCCTGAACCCGTACTGCAAAGTCAGTGTCTGAACAGGCCTGAGCTCATCTATGCTAACTTATTCAAAGGCCTGAAGGGCTTTGTCCTCATTTGCTTCTTGGTTGTTCACTGAGTTTGGGATCTTGGATTCTGGCTTTCTGGGCAAGTTGAGTATTACCAAAGACTGAAATATGAGACTTTTCTGAGGCTCTTATTTTTGTTGTAGGTTGTCTTACCATCAACATATATTAGATATTGTTCCTCCCACCTTCTCAGCTCTGTGTCCTGCAAACCCAACCTGCATTTACAAGTATGGAGATGAAAGTAGCAGTAAGTAATGAAACAAGTCTCTCTCTTTAAAAAGTACTGATCTACGCATGGTCTGAAGCTGGTTATTCATAGAAGAAGGAATTGTCTTTCTTAGAAACCCATATAGCCAGTAGATTAAGGATTTTGTTGTTACTATTAGCTTTTAGGTTTCTTCTATTTTATATTGTTTACAGTGTTTTTTAAATGACATTTTTAATACAGTACTAAGAGTGGTAAAAGGAATTCTTTCCAGGAATGTACTAAGACTGGACGTGTGCATTTGTTATGATGGAGACTCCGTGACTTGCTTATCCTCTTGTCCTAGTTAGCACTGCTCTTGCTGTGATGGAGCACCATGACCACAAGCAAGCAGAGGCAAGGGCTGAGTTGGTTTATACTTCATGTGTTCCTCATGGAAGGAAATGAGGACTGGAACTCAGACAGACCAGAGGCCATGGCAGGGTGCTGCTTACAGGCTTCCTCCCTTGGCTTGCTGAGCCTGGTGGTACCACCCACAGTGGGCTGAACCCTCCCATATCAATCACTAATTAAGAAAATGCCCTACAGCTGGATCTTACAGAGGCATTTTCTCAATGGGGGCTTCCTCCTTTCAGATAATTAGCTTGTGTCAGGCTGAGATGAGACCCGCCAGCACATCTGGTGCTGGAGCACTGGGCACTTGGCAGTCTACTTCTAGAAGTGCAGTTGTAGTCATGACTTTCACCTTTTGGCCCTGTGGGTTCGGGGATTGCACCATGAGTCAGACAAGCTGGAGTTGCTGTGCTCTTACTGCGTTGGACCTTTTATGCTTCCTGGAGGCAGTGTGTGCAGTGGGGACAGGTACAGAGGTAGATGTCAGGTTTCCCAGCGGTGCTTGTGTGGTTGCACTGAGTATTGTAGTTCATTCCTGAGCCTCACATTTTGTGCTGCAAGGAAGCCTGTGTCTGTCTGAGAGCTGTTCTTCCTTCCTACTACAGAGAGCTCTTTTTATCTCTAATTCCTGTTTAACCTCCTTGGTCTGGCCCAACTTTGTTATTTATTACGTTAAACAAACCTGTTTCATAAAAATGCTTTCTATCTACTTCTGAAGTAAATTTCTTGGTTCTCAGCTAGTGTGTAAATTCCTCAGTGACAAAGAGTTCTTATTTTCACGTGTGTGATTTTTTTTTTAAATTTTTGTTTGTTTTTCATAGAATTTCCTTCCACTTTCAGGAGCAGGCTTACAGCAAGTATTAGCTATGTGATTGTCCTTGGCGACCTGTTGTGACGGGTGTTGGTTATTTCCGGTCTTAATAGCACACGTCTCACGATCCCGTTTCATGGTTCTCCTTTTTGTTTCCACTGTCGGAATCACATTGAAAGTACATTTCTTTTTGCTTCGATGCCTGTATATTAACATAAATTCTATACCGTAAGCACTCATTCACAAAATCCTAACCAGTAGTAAGCATGCAGGGTTTAAGCAGAGAGCCCTTATCTTGGCAGTGTTCACCTTGTTTGAACTCATTTGCCCTAGAAGAAAGGGTTGTTGGCAAAAACGACCGAGAAGCTTTTGGATTTAAAATGTCTGGGAGACCTGAGGGCTGGTGTGCTCATGAGTGCGGACATTGAAAGCTGTCTCCTTTAGTTTTTAGTCTAGATGAAAGGCATTGAATTAGCTGGAGCTTTTGTGTATAGTATCATACATAGCTTAAATGCTGATATTGGGCTGAAGAGTATTCTGTTTTAAAAGGAAATAACAAACTGCTGATTTAGCTGCTCACAGAACAGTCTTTGAGCTTAATCTCCCTTCCCTTCTGTTCTGTGTTTAGATTCTCTTCCTGGACATTCCGTGGCACTCTGTTTATCTGTTGCTTTTAAAAGTAAGGCAACCAATGATGAAATCTTCAGCATTCTGAAAGATGTACCAAATCCTAACCAGGTTGATGACGATGGTAAGAGAATGACTTCTTGAGCTGAACCTCAGGCCAAGTTAAAGCATGAACACAGCTCTGGCAACACGAGCTCTGCTGCGACCTCGCAGTGCTCACACAGCAGTCTGTCGGCTGTTCTGAGCACCTGCTTATTTCACCCCTCACCTAAGCGGCCCCAAAATTCCTGGGAAGAGCTTCTATTAATAAAACCCATCCTGGTATGGAATCCTCTCCTTTAATCCCAGACTTGGGAGGCAGAGGCAGGCGGGTCTCTCTGAGTTAGAAGCCAGCTTAGATTACATAATAAATTTCAGGTCAGCCAGAACTACACAGTGAGACCTTGTCTCAAAAGCAACAACAGTTACAAAAAAGGACATAAACCATGTGTTACATAAAAATAAATCACACATTGTTCATTCAGGGGCTTCAGATCCTTCTACTTTATACCTCTCTATGTTAAGAGGGCTTCCTGAATGAGGAGGCTTAATGGGTTGGATAGTTTGGGTATGGCTGACATTTTCTCCAAATAAAAGCTATTACAATACTACCACCTAATCTTTACTTTGAATGTATCATGTAATTTCAGTCAACATCTTTGTTTTATTTTCCTGATATGAATAAGAAAATTGACAGAATGAAATAAAAGCTTAGCTGAATTATGATTGGATAAAGACGTAATGAGAGAGTTGCACCAGTACTTGTGAAGGCATACTGTGAAATATTTAGTTAAGTAAATCTATGTTGCACAACAAGTAGAACAGATGACAAGTCTGCAGAGGTGGCCGTTTGTTTGGAGAGTACACCGAAGACGTGACGTGTCAGTCACTTGTGATAACAGGAAGTTTAGACTTGGCAAAACTTTTAAGATATAGATTTAAAGGTTTTGCTGGTTTTGCTTTAGCATTTTGACATCTTGTGCTCAGAATATGGAGGATATGTGATGCTGTTAAGCAAATGGGTCAGAACCCAGGAGTGGTGGTGCAAACCTGTTAATCTGACCAAGTTTGAAGTCCCAGGCTGGCAACAATGTATAGTGAAGCCTGCCATACAGACAACCCTGAGTTATATAGAAGGACTGGGACAGGGCTCCCGTAAGAGAGAGTTAAGGGTATGCTTTCTCAACGAGGAACTGAGATGAGGTCTTGCTCTGTAGCCTTGGCTGGTTTAACTTAGTTTTATGTTTTCAGTATTTGAAATCAGTAGAGTTTGGTTTATGCTTTTACTGGAACATTAATATATGTTCATATGTCATTATCCTTAGCATTCCAAGGTACAGCACCAAGGAATTACTATAGTTAACTTTTTTTAAAATCTTACTATAAAATATTTTTCAGATGAAGGGTTCAGATTTAACCCCTTGAAAATAGAGGTCTTTGTCCAGACTCTGCTGCACTTAGCTGCCAAGTCCTTCAGTCACTCCTTCAGTGCTCTTGCAAAGTAAGTATATACATTTGAGCGCCAATGCTGTAGTAACTTTTGCCTAAAATTGTTAAATATGAAGATCTTCCTACATAATTTGGTAGAGTGGGTTTTGGTTTGTGGTGGCTTCCTTAAGTGTGTTGCAGTGTAGATGTGCATATGCCAGCCTAGGTCCTGGGGACAGTCGTCTACACGGGCAGAGGGTCCCACCTATCCTAGGTCCTGGGATAATTTTCTACATGGGCAGAGGGTCCCACCTATCCTAGGTCCTGGGACAGTCGTCTACATGGGCAAAGGGTCCCACCTATCTAGGAACCTTTCCCAAGAGAGTAAGCAGCAATGAAAACCTGCTGGAGGGTTGGCATCTAAAGATAGCAAATTTGGTAAGAACCCAGAAGAAAAGAGCACTCTCCTAAGTTGATGAAGCTTCTGCAGGTGTAATTCCAACACACTTATGTGCTTAGTGATGACTCTTTTGCATGCATTATATTATGTATTATATTTTAAATTCAGTAACATTAAAGGGGCTTTGAAAACACTAAAAGGTTTGTGAGTAACTATATAGTGCTCCTCACTTTTGTCTAAAGGTTTCATGAAGTCTTCAAAACTCTAGCAGAAAGTGATAAGGGGAAGCTCCATGTGCTGAGAGTTATGTTTGAAGTCTGGAGGAATCATCCACAGGTAACAACCGTTTAGTTAGACATGGCTCAGGCCATGTAGATATACAGATAAGAAATTAAATATATTTGTTTTTTAAGTCTGTAAACTGGGTGTTATGGAAATAATTAACTGACAAATTCTTTTTGGTAAATTTTTAAATTTCACTGAGCTGTTACTTAGGGGTCCATGGGAGGGTCACAGGGCCTGTGTGACATCAGAGGACAAATTTCAGGTCTGTTCTCTCCTTCTACCATGGTGAGTCCTGGGTATTGAATTTGGCTTGTCGGGCTTAAGTGTCTTAGCCACTGAGCCCTCTCACTCAGTGACAGCCCTCAGAGCTCAGTAACATTCTTCAGGTGGTACTGTGATTGGTTTTGTGCTAAAGCATTTCACACATATTAGATACTGAGTAAGAATATTGTTTGACCACAATATTTGGTAGGAAGTAGTTATCGTGTTTGTTTCTACAAACAAGACCCATAAGATGCTGTTTTTTAACTGGGAAGATTTCAGCTGAAATTACACAGACACAGACACATATTTTTATAGAGGTATTATCAATGAAAGTTTTTTTAAAGAGTGAGTGCTACCATTCAGGAGTTGTCTTTTCATGCAATCTTTATTGTTAATATAGTATTTCTTATAGTATTAGAGCATACCAGAAGGCAGAATAAATCTAAGACTGACTAGTCTAATCAAGAGTGGTGGCCCATGCCTGTAATGGCAGAAAAGCAGGAGTTCAAGGCCAGCCTTAGCTATATGAAACACTGTCTAGAAGAAAATGATGAGCGTGGCTTAAACTGGTCAATTCCATTGCCATTAGAATCACACTGCACGGCCTGCTGTTCCATTCCCCAAGCATTGCTTACCATTCTGCCTGCTTCTCAGTGAACTTTGACTCTGCCTCTTTTCTCCTTGTAGATGATTGCTGTGCTGGTTGATAAGATGATTCGTACACAGATCGTTGACTGTGCTGCAGTAGCAAACTGGATCTTCTCATCAGAGCTGTCTCGTGACTTTACAAGGTTTGAACCAGAATTATGTCACCTAACAGCACTGTGAGGTTACACAGGCTTTATAGATGATCAGGACCAAATAGCAAGGGTTAACATAGAGTGAAAGCAAATGAATTAAAATTTGTGACAGTCTTAACTTCTCCACTACACCTGCTATTACAGAGCACACTTGTCTGAAATATACTGAGTCCTGAAGTGACATATGGTCAAAAGTTTTTACAGAACCAACAAGATGGCTCAGTAGGTCAGGGAGCTTGCTGTCGAGCCTAATGGTCTGAGATCCCTGGGTTTGCTCCTCAGAGCTCACGTGGTAGAAGGAGAGAACCAGCTCTAATGTTGGTGATTTATTAAGGGGTAGACGAGCACAGGTTATGGTCCTGCCCTCTGCGAGTCCCCCTGCCTCTAATGCATGGAGATGGATGCTTTCCTAATTCACTACGGTGCTGAACTAGTGTTGCTGGAAAAGAAGGCCTCGTTTTTCCCAGAGGATAGAAGGCCCTGTCAGCCCTAAGAATGATAGGCTGTATATTGTGGATGTTTTCTCTGTAGTGGCATAACATACATTAACCAAATGCTGTATTACTTTAAGGTTGTTTGTGTGGGAAATTTTGCACTCTACAATTCGTAAGATGAACAAACATGTTCTGAAGATCCAGAAAGAGCTAGAAGAAGCTAAAGAGAAACTGGCAAGGCAGCACAAACGAGTAAGTCATGTGCTGATCTGAATGCTTAAAAGTTGGGGCAGAATCTGCAGGGTAGTCGGAGCCCATTGCTGTGACAGTAATTTTTTACACAAAACTGTCACATGCTAAGGCACTGATGTTGACCACAAGCTATATTTCCCTAGTTTACCACCTCTAAGTTTCTAGAAGAAAACTTCTGTATCGCTAATCTGGGACAAAAGAGAAGGGATAAAATTATAGACATTGAGTCTCAATCCCAACTTGACAATATTCCCATGGGAATAAAGACTGTGTTTAGAGGGAAGCCGAGAGCTGGCTGGACCTCTCTGACTTACAGTAGTGAGTGTTCTGGACATTACTGCATTACTCAGCATATCCACCATTGTAGAAGACAGGGCAAAGGTAAGTTTAGTGACTGGGCTGGCCATGGTAGTGACATCTGCTAGGCCTCACCCCACTGCTGCTACCAGCATTAACATCACCAAGTTTCCCCAGATCTATCACTCCGGGAATAAAAGCCCTTTAGTACAGAATCCTCCCTGGGGATAGGGCATGGCCAAGTGATCAAATCACTTGCCTAGCGTCTCTGAGCTCCTGGGTTTGAGTCCTAGTACCACCCCAAAACCCATCGCCCCCAAAACCAGCTCTTGGGAGGTGGAGGCAGGAAGATCATACATAATTCAAGGACAACCTGGGCCACAGAGCAGAACCCGGTGCTGGTTTTTTTCAATCATTCCCGTTCTGTGGTGACATCACACACTGGCCTGTTGTTCTGCAGCGCAGTGATGATGACGATAGAGGCAGCGACAGGAAGGACGGGGCCCTCGAGGAGCAAATTGAAAGGCTGCAGGAGAAGGTGGAGTCTGCTCAGAGCGAACAGAAGAACCTTTTCCTTGTCATCTTCCAGGTGGGTTGGCTCAGACTGAAATGTAAAGGGCACCCATTCTCTTAGTTTGGAAAGTTGCCATTTTCAATTGCAAAATATTAAAAATACAGAACTTTGCAAAAGAAGAGTGTCACAGCTTTGAGGCCACCGTGAGTGTGAGCTGTTTGCTGATCTAAATCCCAATCTCACGTAGTCCTTATGGTTGACTCCGGTGACTACTGTCTTCCCTGTGAACATTCTGTCCATAGATTGATACAAACATGCTGTCTCTCAGAACAGAGGCCAGGACATCTTCCTATAAGAGGCTGAGGGATTTAACATTCAGTCTCTCCCTTGCTAAGTTGACAGTTTTAGGGGAGGTCCTAGAAGTCAGCAGTACATGCCACAGTCCAGGGTTGATGTTCTTCCTAAGACTTCTTCAACTTGTGCATCCTTTCCAGCGTTTCATCATGATCTTGACTGAGCACTTGGTACGATGTGAAACCGATGGAACCAGTATATTGACCCCGTGGTATAAGAACTGCACAGAGAGGCTGCAGCAAATCTTCCTGCAGGTCTGTGAGAGGCTTGGAACAGACAATCAGCACCATGGTCCCAGTCACACAGGCTTTCCAGTTTAAAACGTCGGTGGTAAAACACTAGTTGTTCATGCCCAAGACCACAGATTTTGAGTCTTACCACTGTTAAAAAGTAGTCCTGGGCTGGGAGATGTCTCCCTGGTTAAGAGCACTGACTACTCTTTCAGAGGTTCTGAGTTGAATTCCCAGCAACCACATGGTGGCTCACAACCATCTGTGATGGGATCTGATGCCCTTTTCTGGTGTATCTGAAGAGAGCCCACATACATAAAATAAATCTTTAAAAAAATAGTCCTGATAAAGTTATGGAGGTTACATAGCTCTTGTAGGCCCCTAGCTTATGTCCGTTTGCTGCCACAACTGTTCTTCAGAATACTTAAACAGGTGCTTTATAGCACTCACATCTGGGGTGCCATTTTCTGTGCTAGGGAGCCCAGCGAGGAAATGTAGCTAGAAAAAAGCCCGCTAACTTAACAGTGGTTAGATGTATAAAGTTACATTAAAATCTATGTTCTTGCCGGGCGGTGGTGGCGCACGCCTTTAATCCCAGCACTCGGGAGGCAGAGGCAGGCGGATTTCTGAGTTCGAGGCCAGCCTGGTCTACAGAGTGAGTTCCAGGACAGCCAGGGCTGCACAGAGAAACCCTGTCTCGAAAAACCAAAAAAAAAAAAAAAAAAAAAAAAAAAATCTATGTTCTTGTGGTAAAGTGTGGCCACAGGCACGGTAAACTGCTTCCAGCTAGAGTTACTGATGTGCAGGGGACTGAAGTTCATTCTTCCTCTTTTAACTCATTAATGCCCTAAGTCCACCTTTGTTCCAGAAAGTGATTAATGCAGAAGTAATCTTTCTTAAAGTTCAATTCTTTAAGCCTCCAAATCTCTCCCAGATTTATTAGCCCGTTTAAGAGATAACTGAGAGCCCCTAGTCCTATAGAAATGTCTTAGTGTGTTTTTGCCTACAGAGAAAGGGTTCCCACTTTGATGCTTTGGCTCCCTGGTCAGGCTGATTGTGAAAATGCATTGTGTCCTGACTTTCCGGACGCACTCTGCAGCTGTCAGTAGTGCAGCTGTGGGCAGTGGCTCCTCATCAAGGATATAAGAAACGGGCTTGTTTACATTATTGTATGTCTCTCCACTCCTTCCCCTGCAGTGTTACAATGCTGAGCCCTCTCAGGAAGTGTGTCAGCGTGGGTGGGAGGGACATGTTGCTTACATTTGGTTTCCTGACTGAAGCCTCTTTTCTGTGTCTGCAGCATCACCAGATAATCCAGCAGTACATGGTGACCCTGGAGAACCTGCTCTTCACAGCCGAGTTAGATCCGCACATCCTGGCTGTGTTCCAGCAGTTCTGTGCTCTGCAGGCCTGACAGTCACGTCTTCTCCTTTTTTATTATCTTGAAATAACTTGTCTTATTTTTGATGGTTTGAATGTTTGCTTTCTTGTAGTAGCCTTTCACTTCCTAAAGGAACTGGGGGAGGAGAGTGAGGACTATGACATGACCCTTAGTTGCCCTGAAGGGCAAGTGTTGCTTGATGAAGCGATGTTACGGTGACCGTACGTATATGAGACACAACTTTTCTGTGATAAATTTGATAACTTTTTCTCCTTAGGGCACAAAACAACAGGTTTGAGGTGTGTGAAATGCAAGGTCAGTCTTGCAAAGTAGTAGATATAACCGACGGGCTATCCCCAGGGAGCCTCGCTTTCCTCTGCTCCTGGGAGACATGGCTGGAATAAACTGCAGTTATGTTTTTTAAACTTTGGGAGTCATGATTTATCATCTTAGTTTCTTTTCTTACTGAAGGTGTACTTAGTCTCGATCCGAAGCTGTCTTTTGCAAATACTTTTCTTAAGTGGTGTTCTTATGACACTACTTGTTAGGATAAAGGATCACGTGTACTAATCCCCAAAGTTGTGTCACTATAAGCCACCCAGAAATCTTGAAAGTTATTTTAAACCGCGATCTCAAAGTATAGTGAAGATGGCAGTTTTTCTAGCGATCTCAAAGTATAGTGAAGATGGCAGCAGCTTTTCTACCTCTCAGGTGACTGCAGGTTTTTCAGCCATTGTTGAAAAGCATCTGGTCATGCCCTGAACCTCCAGGAAGAATTTGCCCAAGACCCCGTAGTGTCGCAGATTGACATGGAGTGGGTGATAAATGAGCTGGCGGGGACTTGGAATTCAGTGTGGCCTGGGGCTTGTCTCTTTGACCCTGGAGTGGATAATTAATCCCTGAGTCTGTTGAGGCTGAAGCGCAATGAGTGTTTTGTAAAATAATGCATAAGCAATTATCTGACATTCCAGATTTCTAGGATTTTTAAACTTCTCATTAAACCTTAGAAAAATCCACTAATAATGATACAATTACTGGTAATTTTGTGCATTTACTATCGTTTTGTACATGTTATACTCTAGAAGTATACATTATGATTTTCTGTTTGTATATATGGGTATTTAAGTTACCATACATTTCAATGGCCATAGAATATAATTTCTTAATAATGAGAATTCCTAGACTTTTTAAATACCACATTTAAGGTAGGAGTATCATTTAATCATTTAAATTCAATAGCTCAGGGTTGGATGGGAGATACTTCAGAACGACAAAATCTGATTCTTAGCTAAATATCCTATTTCTTTACACTGTTCCTTCTTCCCATTTAACATAGCTCATGGTCTAACTGATTTGAAATGACTCCAGTCCTCCAGGAGCCAAAGAATTAACCATTGAAAGCATTGGTAACTGTATCCTTTCCCGAGGCATAGATTATTCTTGATCTGCACACAGGAGTTTGTACTTGTCTTCCTTTCTTTCAATCCTCCTATGTAATGGAGATTTCTAGAAACTGTTCATTAATGTGTCCCTGCTCTATCCTGGTCGGCCATCTGGAAAAACTGAAGAGAGGATTGTATCCTACAGAAGACAAAATGAAAAAGCAGGAAGCAGCTGCTCCTTTCTGGTGGGGCTCCCATAGACAGGGGTAGCACATCACTGCACACATGCGTGCCTCATGAATTCTGTGAAGTCATGCTAATGCTCCTTAACAGGATTTTGTCAAAGTAGACATACGTTGCTCCCCTAAGGACTATATCATACCTAAAAGTGGAAGGTGTAATGTGCTTTTGCCACCCTGATATCTGGATACCAGGATTAACCTAAAGGCAGCTAGAGAACAGAAGCATACAGCAAAACACATCTCCTGTGTTGGCCTTGACAGTAAGTGTTCACTAACTACTGGGTGCTACACTGTCATACCTTATTAAATCTAACAGATTTCTGACAGATGACTGTACTCACTTCACAGATAGAAGCAGGCCCCAGGAAAACTTATCTGAAGTCCACAGCCAGGAAGTTAAATCCATGTATTTCAGGAATGAATTATCCCTATCACACAACAGTACTTAGCAGCAGCCTGAACCCCCCAGTGACTCTTGTCATCAGGCTACAAACATCTCTCTATAAGGAAGTCTGGCTGCCCATTCAGGATCAGTTTTTACTGATCTGTAAAAGTTAATATGGCACATGTAAAACACCAGCCTTGAAAACCACACAGAACATCTCTGCAGAGTTTTCTGAAGAACAGTTAGTAGTGATGGCCCTGATATTTGGGACTGACTTTTGAGTTTGGCCTCTCTCCAGGTGCAGCGTGCAGCAGCTGATAGAAGTGAGCCCCACAAGCCTCCCCTTAGTGCAGGGGTGAAAACAGCCACTGCATTGCAACCTGGGTGTTTTTGTCACAGTCATGTGGAGCTCCTTGCCACTGCTTAAACACTGTATGGACTAGTTAGGAGTGTGGCTCCTGTCCTCATGCCAAAGCAGCACTGTTTAGGGCATTGGTCATGCTTTTTACCTCAGCTGGTTAGTTCTACTTGAGCTGCATTCTACAGAAACTTGTAGATACTCTTTTCTTTATCTTGGTTCCCATCCCTACCCACCAGAGTTTGTGTAGCCCTGGCTCTCCTGGAACTCTGTAAACCAAGCTGGCCTCGAACTCAAAACATCTGCCTGCCTGTCTCTTCCTCTGCCTCCTGAGTGCTGTGTTAGAGGCAGGCACCACCCCTGCCCGGCTCCTGATCCTTTGTTCATGTATAATTGCTTCTAACAGCTGTTACTCACGTACTCTTTGATAATACTTCTGACAAGAGCGAAGAAAACTCTGGCTAGCTAAACTGAGGCAAATGCCTATAGGGAGGTGAGACTGGCAACTGTAACTTCAGAAGTGTTAAGTTAAGCATGGCTATTAGCCCTCCCTGCGTTTGATAAGCAAGACAGACAGACTACTTAAATGATAAATTAATGCTTTTGATAAAACAGTTGGATACTTAACTTTGAAAGTAGTCATTTTTCCCTTTTAATACAGCATTTCCAAACTGCTGTGTGCAGGTCCTGAAGAATGGGGCCTTGGGCACAGCCTCCTGAGTCCTTGGCTCCCGGCTGTGCCTGGGCACTTGTTCCTGTAACAGCGACTTGCTCTTGCCATTGCCTGAAGACTGCACAGCAGTGCACAGCAGACCTGTTCACTCCATCAGCCTTACACTGAAAGCTTCTTCTGTGCCAGCCTAGGAGTCCCCTACATCCCCTGTTCCCCGTGGAATAACTGTTCTTGTCACCTTTATTGTTACTTCCCCATGTACATGTATGTGCAGTTGTGCGTGTGAACCTTTTTTTAAGCATAGCTATCACCTTAGGTTTTTTTTCTTTTAGTTAGTATATGAAATGACCTGCTAGTTTTCAGTCTTGCTGTAGCACAGGGCCCCACAGACCTAACATTGTGCCCTCAGGCAGAACTTAAAACACAACCATTCCAAAACATTGTTATATAAGTGTTGTTTCTATGAAGACTGCATTGTGGAACTTTTGAACAGGGTCTTTATTTGAATATAAATTTGTTTTAAAAGTCACATTTTTTCATATGTCAGTTCGTGGCCACACACAGTACAAGTCTTGCGGTACATGTCGTCTTCTAAGTTTTCCTCCGGTCCGTATTCATGTTGGTGAGCGGTTGTTTCTCTTTTCCATACACTGCTTCTTATTGCTCGCCGCAATTCTAAGGGGAGAAAAAAACTTTTCAGCCTAATACAGAATAAGTTCAATGAAGCTTTCATTGGTATGGTTTATTTATATATAATATAATGTATATAATGGTTTCCTTTCATTCTAACTGCTGGTTACTCACACTTGGCAAGCCTGCTTAGCCTGTGCAAATAATTGTTTATTACATTATCAAGCATGAAGTTGCTGTATGGATTAGAAGTGTAGCAACAAAACAACAGAATGGGGTGTGTTTGGGGCATCTGACAGAAAACAGGATGCCAGAGCAGCAAAGCCAGCTGAGGGAAGAAGGAATGGGAACAGCTCCAATCCCAAGGTTTCCAGTCAGGAGCTCCTGTCAGACAAGTTCTGCCTATGAGGAAGCCAGGAAGCCAGGAACTCTACTAACGTATGCTGATAGGTTTCCATCTTTAAAATACTGCTCATGCAGTGGTGTGTCTACTGAGACGACAACATTGGTTTAGTTTTTATTTTGTTGAGACAGCCTCATGCTGGCCCATGCTGGTCACTGAGCTTAGCACATCTGGTTTATGGGGTTCTGGCAAGCAAGCACTCATCACCGGAGCTACATTCTCATTCTAACAACTGTTTTTTTTTTTTTTTTTTTTTTTTAAATTTTTATTTATTTATTATATGTAAGTACACTGTAGTTGTCTTCAGACACCCCACAAGAGGGCATCAGATATCATTATAGATGGTTGTGAGCCACCATGTGGTTGCTGGGATTTGAACTCATGACCTCTGGAAGAGCAGTCAGTGCTCTTAACCACTGAGCCATCTCACCAGCCCCTAACAACTGTTTTTAAAAAGTAAAACTTGCCAGGAGCTGGGGAGAGACAGCTCTTCCTGAGGACCTGGGATTGGTTCCTAGCACTCATGTCAGTTGGCCCACAACCAGTAACTTCAGTTCAGGGGTTGCTCATTTTCTTTGAGACATTTTGCTGTAACTAATGTCAAAGCTCTACTTGAATCTTTCCAGATACAACATACCATGGGTAAAAGGAGGATAGGAAAATCAATAGACTGGACCCTGGGCTAAGCACTTCAGATGCAGATGGGCGAGCCAAGGCCAGTCAGCCAATAGGAAAAGGTGTAGTCTAGCTTAGGTCCCCAGGGATCAAGCCAACCCCGGGCAGGATTCTTCACCATTGGGCCACATGGCCTTTTCACCACTTTCTTAGGTTTACATGGCTCAGTGTCTGCACCATCTGCCAGAGAGGCCTGTCATCCAGGCTCTGGTCTTAGTTGTTTCAGCTCAGGAAGAGCCTAGATTTCTGAAGTATCTACAAAGCTTTCTGTGTTTTCTGAGGGAGTCAGTGTGCCTCCTGACTGCAGGTGTCTCCTTTGACTTCCCCACTGTGGAAAGCTCTCAAAATTGGGCTGCAGCAAATCATACTAAGCTACCATCTCTGCCAGATTTGAATATTTCATGTACTTGAGGACGAGGGAAGAGGAATTACTTTCTTCTTACATACATGGAAAGCCTAGCTTTCCAGCCACCACTAAAGACTGGCTGTCTTACTAAGTCTATCAAGCTATATAGGCATTCCTGGTAGAAGTGGAAGCACAGGCTGAGTATCCTGTATCTCAAACTTGAAAGGAATTTATGGATGTTTTTAGATTTTGAAATATTTGCACATACAGAACATGAGAACAGATGAGAACCAAGTCTTAGCCACACACACTGATGTACCTTATACATTTCTAGTGTCTGGGCTACAGCCTATTCATGGAGTTTCCTTATGGCATTACGTTGGCAATGTTTCAGATTGTGGAGCACTCTGGATGTTTAGACGAGATGTTTAACCTGCTGTGCTGATGGGTTTGGCTTTTCCTTGCCCTTGTCTCCTTTTCCAAACAAACAATCCAAAGCCTAAGGACAGGAGTAGAGCAGCCATGCCCAGGAATGGGGGCCACTGGGTAGGGAGAGATGGGAAATGTGTCACTTCCTTGCACTAAGCAGCCAGGTTTGCAGGTTCCTCCCTGTAGTATCAGCCGTGAAATGTGGAGGATAAAAGCCAGATATATAAGTATGTGTTTGGACTTTTTATATATGAAGACAAACATGCTTGTTCTAGAAATGTTCAGTTTGTCACGGGCACAAACAGCAACCTATGACAAGACCCCACTAGACAAAATCTGAGACAATCTGAGCTCCAAATAAAGTCACATGAACAGACAACACTGGGAATCAGAGTCCATGCCACTAAGGATGCTGTAGAACACTGGTGGTGGAGTACTCTGACCTATCACAGTAGTACTGGTCCCAGCAAAGCCACCAGTGAGCACCTGCTGAGCTGGGCTGTGTCCACAGCATAAAAGGCAAAGTGGTAAGACTCAGAACCATTTAGACCTAATGCCTAAACCATGAGCAAGCCTACACTGCATCCGTTCTAGAAGGGAACACTAAAGTAGGCTCAGTTAGCAGAGGTGGAGCACAGCAGGTTAGGTTAAAATCTGCTAATGGCACACTGGTGAACAGCGTGTTAGGAAACAACACATCAGAGTAGTGATTATGATTGCAGTGAGAGCCTACCCATGATGCAAATGGTAGCACAAGCCACAGCTCAGTCTGGGGAAGGCATGTGTGTGCTCCTCTGTTTGTTATTCCAGCAGTTTCTTACAACTCTGAAATTCCTTCCAAATAAAAAGGGCTTTAGGAAAAGACAGGAACTAGCTTAAAGGAGACTCCACCGTCCACTGACCAAGCCTGGGACCGTGTAAGCATCCAAATGAACAGTGCCAGGAGGGGCTTACACTACCATGACCTGAGAAGAATCCACGGGTGAGTCCAACCTGTGCTCTACAAAACCACAACAAAGGCCAGGCATGAGAGCCTACGTCTGTAGTCTCAGCACCTGACAGGCAGACAAAGGTAGATCTCTGTGGATTGGAGGCCAGCTACATAATCCCAACTTCAAAAAAAAACACAGGCACAGAGATGGACATCTACAATCCTAGCACTTAGGGGGCAGAGGCAAGAAGATTGTGACAAGTCCTGGGCTACATGAACCTTGTCTCAAGAAAACAAGAGTAGAGCCCAAGGAAAAGCTTTGTTTTAATGCAAATAACCCCTATTTATATGCCACAAAAATCTCAGCTAAAACATCTGCATATACTAGAACCTCTGAGTAAGAGTGCTACACCCAGTGTCCTTTGTATTAGGTACAGAAAGGAAGGACTTCAGTGGAGACTGTCGGCTGCCTCAAGGACGGGCAGTAGCTCTCATGTGTGTCCTATATCTCTTAAGTATTCCTCCCACAGATAGTCAGCCTGAGTCTCATGGAGCAGAAACAAGATGCTGAGCAATGCAGGGGCAAAAGAGAAGGGCTGAGGGCAACATTAAAGGTGTTACCCCAACGGCCCCTGGACGGACAAATGCAAGTGAGGGAGACACGGGAACAACACAGGGAAACATTTTGCGCAATCGCTTTTTAAGTGTCTCAAATATGATCAGCTTTTTGTTACAGAGAAAAGTTCTCAGAAACACAAAGATTTGAAGGAATCACAGAGTTTGCAAGTAACTCAGGGCTTAAAATGCATGCAAGTACGAAGGGTTAGAAATGGCCAAATGCCAACACTTGGGGGGAAAAGTAGTGTGTGGGGGTATACATGTGTGTGCATGTAGTATGTGGGGGTATACATGAGTGTGCATGTAGTGTGTGGGGGTATACATGTGTGTGCATGTAGTATGTGGGGGTATACATGAGTGTGCATGTAGTGTGTGGGGGTATACATGTGTGTGCATGTAGTGTGGGGGGGTATACATGTGTGTGCATGTGGATCACAATGCTGCACATGTGTACAAGTCAGGACAACTTGGCAGGAGTAAGTTCTCTCTTTCCACCACATGGGTTCTCAGGGAATTAGCACATCTACCCACTGAATTTCACTGGCCCCAAAATCTTTTAAAGAAGGTTTGTTGGTGCCACAACACTCAGGAGAATAGCAACCAACTGTCTTTTGTCAAGTCCGAGATACAACTGTTAAGAGTATACAAAAGTGGGACAGGTCTAGCATACCTGGGAGAAGGAACTGGGGTGCATGTGGCGCACAAAACTGGAGCATAACAGAGGCTGGACAACCAAATGGTGAGTGCCTTGCCCTATTGCTGCCTCCTAGTCTTGTTGGCAGTAGATAGCTGATGCCCAGAGACTACCTCTCCTGGAAATGAGTAGCCAATCTGGCTACTGAGAGCCTCAGGAACTGCTTAGAATGTCACCCAGAGAGATTTCCCCAAAATGCTTGTTACAGTGAGAACTCAATGCCACTTCAAAGTTTGTTTCTAGACTACACCTTGCAAAAGAGACAGTGCAGTCAAAGGAACCCAGCCCTGCTGCTGCTGAGGCAAACTTACTACAGAGCTGGGTGAGAGAGACCCACCGCCTCTACAAGCTGGATGGAAAAGCAAGTGGTGCCCTGTTACCTGGAGGAAATAAATTACAAAGACAACACAAAGTTTTGATCTCAGTTCATGCTCCATAAATTAACCAGGATGGACTTACACACCTCAGATTCCTCAGTGAAGGTTCACAATGTCACAAACATATCCATGGGACACTGTGCAGTGTCCAGAAATTCAGAAGGGACCTCAAAATGGGATGATGTCCTTACCTGCCCCTTGCAGAGGTGGGGATATTCGTACTAATGAAGTCCACTGACTAGCCTTTTAGGAGGAAAACTTATACTACTAAGCCCATGTAACATGAAACAAACACCCATAATCCCACCTGCAGACCAAAACTTCTGTGTACTGCACCAATTCAGGGTTCTTGTCCACCACTGGGTGGTGTGCCCTTTGGAATGCAGCCACCCTTTGGCTCAAGACATGGAACCGTGTCTGTGCACACTATACAGTATTCATTCACATCTTTTCTGTAGCAAACTCCACGTTATAGCTTCTACCGTAAACAGACATGTTGAGAGCAGGTGAATGTAGTTGCTTACCTTCCCATAAAGAAGAAAGCTTTAGTCAGCTTCGCTGTGCATCAAGAGGAACCATGTTCCAATTCTTTCCAACTAAAAAGCCTTTAGACTTGCTTTGACTCCTCTCTGTTCTGAGCAAACTGTACAGTCAGCTCCTCGTTTCTACTCTACAGTCTACTCCACTCAGCCCTCTGTGGCCTAGTCAGGACAGGAACATATCCACCAAGTGCTAGAGTGAATGAATCAACAAGAACCACAGTTAAAGTCAGCGTCACACTGAGCACCCCAAGGCGGGGAGAGGACACAGACCACCCAGAACTCATGTTCATTAGCAAAAGCGGGTAATGGCAGGTGCTCACTCATGCAACCACTTCCAACATTTTCTTGAAAAGCATGTTTCACCCAAACAAGAAATGAACTCAAAGAAAAGAAATCAATCCTCAGAAAAGACCTCAGTATCAACTGGAACTCAGGAATGAGGAAAACCCATGAAGTCTGTCTAATACATGGTAGTTTGAGCTAATACAGTGATCAAAAAGTTAACACCAACTGAGTTCATATTTTGAAAATTGTAGAAAATTTGTATTAAGATATATACATATCCTAATAGAGTCATATTAAAAAGACAAGAAATTAAGTGTATCTCATAATGGTTTTCTAGACAAATTATAGGAGTTTAGTTACATGACATGTTGACCAGACCACAAGATTAGTGTCTAAAGAAAAGTCACAGTGTTCTTCACCACTTTACAATACAAAGTTCTAGTTAACACTTACTCTTTTGTCCCTATTTCATCATCTACACCATCTGAGGGGTCTGGCTGATTTCTAGTAGCTGTTAAAACCCTGGACCTGAGCTACAGAGATGGCTTGCACTACCATGACCTGAGAAGAATCTACCAGTTCACAGGGTAAAAATGCCAGAATGTGAGGAACTGAGTTTGAATCCCTCCCCCCACCAAAAGTGGGGGGACACCAAATAAAACAGGTGGGAGAGGTACGCAGGACACAGGGATCCTGGATGCTGGGAGCACAGAGGCCAGCCACTCTAGCCAAAAGACCAGCTTTAGGTTCTGTGAAAAGAGATCCTATCACAAAGGTATTAATACCTTTGTGCATATGGCCTCTGGCTTCCATGTTCGTGCACACACAGAGCAGATAACTAACCTGGAAGCCACCTGTCACACCCTTCCCTTCCTATGCTTTTTCACTGCTCTGTCCTATAATAGAAGCTCTGCTATTAGAGGGAGGGGCTAGTGCTAAACATCAGGAAGATGAGAGAAGAGGGCAGGTTAAAGGAGAACTCTTCTCCGTGGGTCTCTGCTGACATGCAAACGCTGGGACACAGCTGTGGCTGCCTTGGACAACATGAATGAAATAGTCTTCTGTAGTAGTCTGCTAAGGAAACCTCAGCTAAGGCTCCTATGTGGGCTTCCTACCTGCCCAGGAATTAGGTCACTTATGAAAGGAGTTTCAGTGAGATTGTCTTAATGCACTTCTGTATCCTACAGTGCTACCATTTTTTGTTTTAGAATGTGTAAGAGTCTGCACAGGGAAAAGGACTTGGATGCTTGGTTAGTTGACTGACTGGCTTTTTGCTATTATTGTTTAGTTAGGTTTGAGAGGCGAGTTCTGTTGTGGGTTTTTGGTTTTGGTTTTGGAGCCAAGGACTCATTCTACAGACCATGCTGGCCTCCAACTCACAATCCTCCTGCCTCAGTTTCCTGAGTACTAGGACTGCAGACATGTGTTTAAGCATATGGGCTGTCCCATTCACTCACAAACTCTCTTCTAAATTTTAAAATCATAAGAAAAATTAATATGGCTAGAATACCGATTTGAAATGGATCAAGTAAATGTATAACCCAACCTACATACAGGACACATATTACCTACACACAGTGTGCACCACACAGGGACTCTACACAGCCACCACATGAAAGGCATCTGCTGGTTACTTCCTGAAGACTCCACTTTGGTGATTTTGTTTACAGCCCCGTGTGCTCCTGCCACACTCTGTGTTTATCCCTGGTGTGGCCCCATACCCAGCACACTGGGTTAGTGTCTCAAGTTTCCTTTCTGACACTCAGTGTAGCACCTTGGTTAGCACAGTGCTTGGCCCACGGTAAAACTAGATGTGTGCATGGATGGACAGACTTATGGAAACATTCACACGTGGATACAGACATAGATACACACATGGACAATAGATGCAGAGACAGAGCCACCAGGGAGTGGATGACATGGGGACAGATACACAGATGGAGGAATGACTATGCATATATATAATACATATGAAGACTCAGGAAGAGAACCAGACAACTGTCCCAACACACAGAACAAGCCATTCATCTTTCTGGGTTTATTAGTCATATTTAAATAAAGATGCTCAGACTAATTGATACTGGTTATTCCTTCTAGCTACTAAATCCAATGACTACATAGTTCATGGTTTTGTTTCAAGCAATGAGAGGTAGCTATTGAGTCTTGTTATTTTATGTTACTGTTGTCTTAAACACTGCAAACCACACAGGATCCGACTGATGCCTAATCCCACCATCCCCACCCCGACAGACACCACTGCTGCACAAAAATGACTCTCATGAAAATGAGGCCTTTAGAAATGAGGTGCTGTGAAGTTTGAACCAACCTCATACACCAAGGCACTGAGGCTGACGCTCAAGCCCTCTCTCCTTACCTATAGAAAAGACATGCCCACATCTACGAGCCGGACAGGCTGCGAGGCCTTTCACTCCATGGTGACACAAGTGACAGAACATCTGGCCACTTACCTTTTACTTTTTTATCAAACTTCTTCTGCTTCATTTTTTCTCGGTTTTCCTGCCTCACTTCCTTTGCATCTTCCAGAGCTTCCTGGCTACCCCAAACTTCAAGAGCCCGCTTTACAACCTACAATACAGGTGAGAGCCCAGTTAGCTGGGATTCAGAGAGGTACAGGATGAAGTCCTAACTGTCAGGCTTACAGATGTCATTAAGTCACATCAGGAGCCAAAACATGGACTTTAGCAGTTGAAGGACTCCCTTTAGGGCCCACTTTTTCCAGAAGGAACTGAAATACTAGTACAGGAAACATAAATGAAGAAAAGACTCAATGAGAAAGAGCATGTAAAATCCAATCATGAGGCCAAGAGTGGCAGGAAATGCCAGCAAAGTCTGTGCCCTGACGTTTCCCTGCTTCTGCTGCCTCAGCAGGGTACATGAGGCTGAAACAAAGCCATGGTAAGCACAAAGCACTAAGTGATTAGAAAACCTGGGCTGCTTTAACTAGAATTGTTTTTACTTATTTTGAATGGTACTTAAGATAAATGATGAACTTCTTAATCAATAATCATATTTAATGAAACTGAGTGTATATTACTCAATGTGGCTTAATTTTATGTAAGAATGAGAGACTTCTAGTGAATTCCTTCCATGCAGTGTCTCTCCATATCCTCATATAATGAATGGTGCAAACATTGTCATAGTCAAGCCATTCTGGAGGAGATACAGGAGGACACATGTGACTCCAAGCAGTAGGCCCGGGCGCTGGAGCACACAGTCAGTGGGTCTCTGCCACAGCACACGTGTAATCTGACCACAGCAGGGGCTGAGATCTGCCCCGAGCTGTGCCAGTTACTGGACACTCCAGCATTCCAGCTTATATCCCAGTACAGTTAGAATCCAGGCATCTGTGAAGTAACTGAAATGCCGATCACCTTTCTTCTTGTCGTTTTGTAAAAGAAGACAGAGAGACAGATGAGGTCTGAGCTTTTCTCAACCTTTTAGAGTGCAATCATACTCCCTGTATCATCCACTAGCAATACGTTTATGCTGAAGTTGCCACAGCAAAAGCAAGATGAGAAAACAGTGTTGTGGGTAGTCACTAGCTGTGACAGGGACAGATACATAAACAAGAAAAGGATCTTCTTATTGTGTGAGCAAAACCAGCGTTAAACTAGTCAGTTATGCTGGAAGTTCACCTAAAGTCGGACAGCCCAACGTCCAGCTTACTAGACACCTGTAGCTTTAAGTAGAGCTTCATATCGCCCCACTGTGAATGCCGAGGGTTCTTCTTCACAATGAACCTGAGCGCTGGCTCTCTTTTCTCTAAGTCACAGTCCTTCAGAAGGTATTCTTGCTTGGCTTCTGTTTTGGTTATAAGCTTGTGTTTATCATCAGCATCTCTGGAAAGAGATTAAGAACATTATATAAACTACTTCAGTTAAGTTGAGTTTTCAGACAGCCCAGCTTTTGGTTCTCATGTTCAAAGTCATAAAAGTTCAGACTCAAGTCTTATCACGATTAAGAATCTTCTTAAAGTCCCTCTTATTTCAGAAAGAACCTGAAATAAGAGTAGGGAAGACACAATGAAAAAAGGGCTCATTGAAAAAGAAAATACAAATTGAGTTACAAGGTCACCAGAAGCCCATGCCATCACCCCAGCACTTGAGAGCCTGAAGAGAGAGAACCCACCACAAGTTCAAGGCCAGCCTGGGTTACACAGATCTGATCAAGAAAGATGGGCAAGAAATAAATGTCCCAAAGTCCCATTTCCTAAACACAGCTGGGTTCTGGTGGCTCAAAAAACAAGGTAAAAACAGAGACAGTAGGAACCTGAAGCAGCACCAGAGTTTATAGAAGGCCCATGAACTTTTAAGTTATTTCTATTCCTTCATTTGTCACCTCAATGTCAGGCACTGTTGAAGGTAATAAGGAGACAGCCGTGATTTAAAAGATAAAATAGGATCTTGTTTAACGAAGCTCTGTTCTAGTCAGAAGACAGTCCACGTAATGACAGGGAAGGTGTTCTAAGATCATAAAGCACAGTGAAGGAACGGGGACTTCCTGGCAGCAGGGTCACCAGAGAAGCCTCTGCTGAGGACGCTGGTGAGCAGAGCCCAAAGCAAGCCAGAAAAAAGCTCCTAAGCAGAGAAGCAGGGGCACAGAGGCTGCCAGGCAGGGGGACGGCACACACACCCACAGTAAGTGATGGCAAGCGTGGGAAGAGGTAGTCGGGGCAACTGGGGACCTGCAGCCATGGTGAAGACGTATTTGAAATGAAATTAAAAACCAGTTTAACAGTTTGACAAAATTCCCTAGTTGTCAAGAGGTGCAAGCTTGGGAAGGTGCAGAGACCCAGAACTCTCCACTCGGGAGGCAGACTGGAAGACTGTGAGGTCGGCATCAGTGTGAGACTGTTCAGTGTAAGTTGAGGCTGTGGCCAGTAGCTGGGTTGCCTAGACTGCCTCAGTCTCCAGCACCACAAAAACAAAGAGCAGTTTAAAACAGGCACCTGCAGCTATCACAAGTTGGCAAATCAAAGTGGTTCATAAGATACGAGTCCATGAACTCTTTCCCACATTCTTCACAGATAGTGTAGTCAAACTCCATGACAGGCCCTGCAAGAGGAAGGGGGCGTCTTTACTCTTTTGGAGAAACATGTACTTTTCTCTATCTTATTAGCTTATTGTCACAGATTATATGCCTGACACAAATGCCTATGGGGGGGGGGACTGATTAATCTTATGTTTATGGAAAACAATTTTCTAAGAGGAAAAAAAGAAAAAAGTAATTGTCTTTAGGGTTTTATTGCTGTGAAGAGACACCATGACCAAGGCAACTCTTACAAAGTGAAACATTTAATTGGTTTAATTAAGAGGTTGTTGGGATAATCTCCTTGTGTACTATAGAAAGGTTGTCTTTGTTTATTCAAATGTTGATGTCTGTACCCACAGAGTGCAGAGTACCATCTGGACTTTGGTATTGTTATTTTTATAAAGCATCACCTGTCTCAGTGCATCTTAAAAATTCTTCTCCACCACCTTCTGACTGGCTTAATAAAGACCGTGGCAGAACATTGATTAGAATAAACAAGTTAATTAGGTTCTATGAGCTAGTTGGGAACAAGCCTAAGCTATAAGGCCTAAGCATTCATAAATAAATATAAGTCTCTGTGTCATTATTGGAAACTGGAGGGTCGAGACAGTCCAGCGATAAAGTCATCATGGTGGGAAGCAGGGCAGCATCCAGGCAGACATGGTGCTGGAAAAGGATCTGAGAGTTCTACATCTTGATCCAAAGGCAGCAGAAGGTGACTGCAGAAGGATTCTGCAGGTGGCCAGAAAGAGATTGGATTTCCACACTGGGTGGAGCTTGAGCATAGGAACCCTCAAAGCCCACCCCCATAGTGACACACTTCCTCCAATTAGGCCACACCTCCTCCAACAAGATCACACCTCCTAAATGTGCTGCTCCCTGTGGGTCAAGCATTCAAACACAGGAGTCTATGGGGGCCAAACCTACTCAAACCACCGCATTCCACTCCCTGGCCCCCTAGGCTTGTAGCCACAACATAACACAAAACGCATTTAGTCCAACTTCAAAAGTCCTCATGGTCTATCACAGTCTCAACAATGTTTAAAACCCCAAAGTTCAAAGTCTCTTCTGAGATTCATGCAATCTCTTTAACTGTAATCATCTATAAAATCAAAATCAAAAAGCAGATCACAAACTTCCAACGTACCATGGCACAGGATAAACATTACCATTCCAAAACACAGGAAAGGGAGCACAGTGGGGAAATATTGGACCAAAGCAAGATGGAAACCCAGCTGGGCAAACTCCTCCATGTCTGATGCCAAAGTGCTCTTCAGATCTCTAACTCCTTTCATCTTTGTTGACTTCACCAAACTTCTTTCTCCTGGGCTGGTTCCACTGCCTGTTAGCAGCTTTCCTCGGCAGGTGTCCCCCAGCTCTGGCATCTCTAACCGCTTGGGGCCTCCAGGTCAATCCATACCTCACCACCACAGCCTCTGGAGCAGTTTCTGCTGCTGCTGTTCTTGGTGGTCATCCATGGTACTGGCATCTCCAAAAGCTGCTGTCTTCTGCTGCAACTGGACTGCACTTTCAGCAATGGCCTCTCATAGGCTTCACGGTGCCAATCCTCACCTTCTCTGCATGACTCCTCCAGTCCTGGGCCTTCAACTGACACTAAGGCTGCACCTTCAACAATGGTCTCTCCTGGCCTCTCACAGGCCTCAGCTGCTCTCCATGACCCCTGCACTTCTTCAAAACCAGTACCACCTGCTGACTCTTATTCATGACCAAATCTAGCTGCCAGCACAAGGTACAACCTTGGCTGCCTCACACAATAGCCTTTCTGAGCCTTCATGCAGGGCCACCCCTTGCCACACCCCTACCTTCAGTGACTTTCCTTAGTCCAGGAGAGAAATCCTTATTCCAAAGCCAGAACCAAGTGGCTGAAGCTGCCTAGTTCTGCTTCCTGTTGGGGCTGGAGCATGCCCCTCATTACATCATCACTCCTCTCTGTTTTCCATGGTTTCCCTCGCTGCCTAAGCTTGGCTGTCCTGGAATTTGGTCTGTAGATTGATCGTGAACTCAGAGATCTGATGCCTCTGTTTCCTGAGTGCTGGGATTAAAGGCTGGTATGTACCACCAAACCTGGACCTAAGCTTTCCTTTAATTCCTTACCACAAGATCTTTATAAGCACTGCCACTATGCCTCACGATCTGGATTAAAAGCATGTGTCATCCCACCTCAAGATCCAGATTTAAAAGCCTATGTCTTCCAGCTTCAAGGTCCAGATCAAAGGCAAGTTGTCTTCCTGCCTCAAGATCTGAAATCAGGAGTACCCTCCATTTCTGGAGTGTAGTTCATTCCAGATATAGACAAGCTGACAATCGAGATCAGCTATCACAAATCCACCCCTTGTCAACTTGACACAATCATATCTCTTTATGTCCAAATGAAGACAATAACCAGGTCATAATAATTCCTAACATGATATAACTATCCCTTATATAACTGCAAACACATTGTAAATTTAGAATAGGTAACAATGTTCCTTGGGGAACATCCTTCTCACAAGATGAAAGGTCACTACTCCCTTAATTCTATTTAATATCTTTAATCTGTTTATCTCCTTGAATACAGGATTCAACTCCATTCCACTTCCTGTGCCCCTTTACTCCTTGAACCATACATTTTGTATTTTTCCTTTCTCAGCTTACATTAGATCAAAATGCTCTTCATACGAGTGACTCGCAGGACAGAGTCTATGCTAGGCTATTTTGAGATATCTTTGTCAATGCAATTCATCTAAATCTCTTCATGTTAGCCTCAGGCAGACACTTCGAACAAAAAGCAGCTACATATATCTCAAGAATGATCTCTAGGCAACATACTAAAATTCTTCTCCTCTGAAACCTCTTGAGGCAGGTCCCCACAGTTCAAATCACCCTCAGCACCAAGTTCTTCCATGCTTCTACTAGTACAGACCATTAAACTCCACGTAAAGCAATCCATTGCTTTCCTAATCCAAAATCTCAAAGCCCACATTCCTCCAAACAAAAGCAAGATCAAGCCTGTCACAGCAATACCCCAGTCCCTGGCACCAATTTCTGTCTTAAGGTTTTGTTGCTGTGAACAGATACCATGACCAAGGCAACTCTTACAAAGGAAAACATTTACTTGAGGCTGGCTTACAGTTTCAGAGGGTCAGTCTGTTATCATCATGGTGGGAAGCATGGCATGACATGGTGCTGGAGGAGGAGCTGAGAGATCTACATTTTGATCCAAAGGCAGCAGAAAGGGGTTAGATTCTGCAGGCAGCCAGAAGGAGACTAGGTTTCTACAGTGGGCAGAGCTGGAACACAGAAAACCTCAAGGCCTGTCCCCTCCTCCTATAAGGCCACACTTACTCCAATAAGGTCACACCTCCAAATAGTGCCACTCCCTGTAGTCCACACATTCAAATACAAGAGTCCATAGGAGCCAAGCCTATTCAAACCACCAGAGGAATTAAGCAGGAGAGACTTAGTAATTCACCAAGTCCTTCTGAACCCCAACCATGAACAGCACCACTTCTTGTGCACTGGCTTACAGCATGAATCTGTCTGCGGGGAATCATGGAATTGGCCTGGTTTCTCAAGTTAGAACCCATGGCTCATGGGGCACTGTGCACCTTTCTGTTCCTGAGAAACTGAGGCACTCCCTCGGGCAGTGAAATATTCAGAACATCTTGGGATTCTCTGTGTTCCCTAGAAGTCAAGGAGACATGGAAGGTTGATAGGACAAGTGGTCTTAGGCATTAATCTTGTGTATCCTTGTATCAGTCAGGGTTCTCGAGAGTCACAGAACTTATAGAATATCTCTCTATATTTGGGAATTTATGATAGTGACTTACAGTCCAACTAACTTAACAATGGGCAGCTGTGAATGGGAAGTCCAAGAATCTAGGAGTGGCTCAGTTCCACGAGGCTACGTGGTTCAGCTGGTCTTCTGTATAAGCTGGAATCCTGAAGAAGGAGGCTTCAACAGATGTGCTGGCAAGTAAGTGCAAGCAGACGGAGAAGCAGCCTTCCTTCTTCCATTGTCCTTATGTAGGTCTCCAGCAGAAGATACAGTCCAGATTAAAGGTGTGCACCACCATGCCTGGACCTAAGCTGTTCTTTACTTGGGACTTGCTCTGTCCCTGGCAGGCATTGAACTCAGAGATCTGTTCTCTCTCTCTCTTTTTTTTTAATGTTCTAAGTTTTATTTTATGGGTACTGGCCTCTCATTTTTGACTACAAAAACCATTTCTTTTTCTTCCTTTTTTTTAATTTTTATTTTTTAGTTAGTTTTCTTTTTTTCTTTCTTCCTTTCTTCTTTTCTTTCTTTCTTTCCTTTTTTTTTTTTTTTGTTTGTTTAAGATAGGTTTTGTGCTGGTAAGTTTTTAATTGTCGATTTGCTACAACCTAAAATCACCAGAGACAAGAGCCTAGACTGAGACACTGTCAAGAACAGGCTGGCCTGTGGGCCCATCTGTGGGTGGCATCGTTCCCAGGCTGGAGACCTGGACAGTGTAAGAGCAGAGAGGGTTAGCTGGGTGTCCAGCAAGCGTAGGTGCATTTGTTTCTCCCAGCTCTTCACTTGGGTGTGCTGTGACTGGCTGCCCAACTTCCTGCCTCAAAGGCCCTCAGTGGCGGACTGCAATCTGGGATTCTACATCAAATGAGCCCTTTCCTCCCTCAAGCCAGGGTGCTTGTCACCACATCAAAAATGAAATTTGAACAGGGCTCTACTATATTTTACTAGTATGGTTTGTCTGTCTGTCTGTCTCTTTTTCTTCTATCTTTGAAACTGTCTCTCTTGATTGCTCTGGTTGGTTTGAAGCTCACTATGTACACCACCTGCTGGGATTAACCAGCATACACCAGACCTTATCAGTCCAGTCTGAAACTCCTGAATTCAAGCAATCATCCTGCTTTTGTCTCCTAAGTACCACGCCCAGCTCATGAACATACTCTAATTGAGACTGTTCTGCCTGTCGGTATCTCAGCAACTCCTGCCTGTGATACAGCAGCAAATGTCTGTCCACCCCATGTACACAAACCAAGGAGTCATTTCCACATGCCTGGGTGTTTGCCTTCCTATTGTTCTTAATACTTAATAAATGCAATGTCATACCAATAACAAAGAAGTATCTGAAAAAATAAAGCCCTTAGGAATTTTATCACAAAGCACATCATTTAAAACTACATGTGGGGGCTGGAGAGATGGCTCAGTGGTTAAGAGCACTGACTGCTCTTCCAGAGGTCCTGAGTTCAATTCCCAGCAACCACATGGTGCCTCACAACCATCTGTGATGGGATCTGACGCCCTCTTCTGGTGTGTCTGAAGACAGCTATCGTGTATTCATTCATGTACATAAAATAAATAAATAAATCCTTAAAAATAAATAAATAAACAAATAAATAAAACTACATGTGAACAGCCAGGAGTGGTGGCACATTCCTTTAATCCCAGTGCTTGGAAGGCAGAAGCATTCAGATCTCTGTGAGTTCAAGGACAGCCTAGTCTACAGAGCTAGTTTTGGGACAGTCAGGGCTACACAGAAAAACCCTGTCTTGGAGGAAAAGCAAAAAACAAACTACATGTTAGCAAGCCCAGAACATGAATACATTCTGAGAATGGGAGTAACACTATACATATCAAATATGAAATACTCTCTTTTTTTTTCTTACAAAAGGAAGGCATTTTAATTGAACATCGCTAAAATTAAAACAAAAAAAAATCCTCTTCAAAAATACATCATCAGATCAGTGCAAAGATAGCCTCAGCTAAGAGAAAATGAATAGTAAACCATTTATATGTTGAAGCTAACAGGAAATCTGTACCTAGAATTTATACAGTTTTATATCACCACTACATAGTTGAATTTAAAATTATACAGAAGGTTTTAATAACTACTGCTCTAAAATTTAAAATGGGAAACAAATTCTCAAAAGAATGTTCAACATCATTAGTATCTAGTAGATGCCGTTCAAGTCCGGAGCACACTACCGACTCACACCGGAGCACACTACCGACTCACAC